TTGGGCTCAACTCGCTGAAGCACCCCTTGAAACCAGCTCTCGAAGTAGCTGGCATTCATTTCGTCATGGTAATCACCTCCTTTCTTAGAGACGAAAATGAAGTCACACTCTTCTAAAAAGCCACAATCGCTACCAATATGAGTTACGTTCAATCTTTGACCTTTCCCTGATGGTCCACGAAGACCTGTTGACAAACCTTCAATGCTTGCTTGTCGGTTACTCACTACGTTTTTGTCTATCCAGGTTTTTTTTAACTGTGTGACCTGCATTTACTCATGTCTCGTCCAAATAATAGATTTTTCTGCTTTGTCGCCTATATTCAATCATTTCGCGTAGGTATTTTCGACGCCAGGCGACTATTTCAGGTCTCTCTATCAATACTGACTTCCGATTACGCGTTTCGTAACGAAAATTAATTTCGTGCAGGGATTTCCTCATTACCTCGACGCTCATTTGGGGTATAATTTCATTTTCCTTGATCGCTGCATGTACAGCCTTGACGGTTGGTATCTCATTCCTAAAGAAGAATGAATGTACGGTTCGCCTTAACGCCATTTTGCTATCGTCATCCAATTTAAAGGCCTTTCGTCCCTTCAAATTAAACTTTGGATCAGTAGTAGCTTCAGTTTTCTTTTCATGCACCACCCTGCGAATGGTCCACTCTGGAACGCCTGTCATACTTTCACAACGCGCGAGTGCATCTCCCTGCGACATAGTTCTGTTCAGATAATTGAACACGTTGAGCACGATTGCTTTCGCGTCCCTCTTCAGTGCTTTACGAAGCCGTATACTTGTTCCCTGGCTTTCAGTACTTCCACTCGTGCCATTTGTACTCTCCATGGTTAAGTATAACCTAAACAGTAACCACAGAAACAACAACAATAACAATCACACAACAATTCTTATAAAAACACACAATATGCGATCGCTCAACGAAACACGTTCCAATGCGTTGCCGACGCCTATGAGTCTGCCGGTCGAGGCGCGTCTTTGATTTCATTGGTTCTACCGGCGGAGAACAATCAGCCATCATTTCCATCTCTGTCTGTGCTGTTGACCACCGCAAAGCCACAGAAACGACATATGTCGTACGCTATACGGCTGTACTGGAAGGAAGCCGGGATCGAGCTCTGATCACGTGTTGATCACGCGTATGAGTCATTACAGTTTTAAATAGTTGTAGTATAGGAAGAAAAGTTTTTATAAACATAGGTCGACAAACGTCCCCTAAGGGCGCTACGGTCTTTTAAAGGGGCTCCCATGAAGATGGTTTTTCCTTAATATTTCCGAAACGTGTTGAGATAAAGACATAAAATTTGATATTCTAGCCTAGATTTTTATGCTGGATTTAAAAATATTAACAATTTTAGACAGTTTTGTTTTTAAGCTTATGTAACAGGGACGGACTCAGGTTATTTTAGCCCCAAAATTTTTGTGTGATTCTATTTTTAAAATTCAATTTTAGAATTTGAAAATTTAGGGTTTTCTACATAAAAAGGTACTCTTATTGAATATCGATAAATTGTGCCATTTTTGAATAAAATCAAACTAAAACATTTGTCACATGATAGGAAATGTACTGCGAATTTAAATGAATAGTTAGCCATGACTGCAAACAAAAGTTGTTTTGATTTGTTATGACTTATTTTGACGTTAAGCTGACATTGTCAGCAGTGTAAAATTACTAGATTAAAGTCAAAATTTGTATTAAATCGATTTAAAATGCCAAGATTTACAGACAGAGAACTGACTGACATGGATTTTGTGTACGGGTTTTGCAATGGTAGTTCATTGGCAGCCGTAAGAGAATGTCAAAGAAGATTTCCCAATCGCATAATACCTGGATGTCGAATGTTTACTGATATTCACCGGAATTTGTCAAACCATGGAAGTTTTTAGCGCATGCAGGGCTCAGGACGGCCACTGGGAAATCATCGTATGGATATTTCTTTAAATATGTTTGAAAATAATCCGCAAATAAGCATACGAAATGTTTACAGAAATTATGGATACCCAACTAACAATTATAACTCCTATTAGAGTTGCAAGAGTGATTATACAGTATTCCTTAAACAGCATTGTATACTGTAAGAACATTGGCAAAACCCTCTCAGAACAGCTATACAAGCGGAATGGGCACACCTAATAGGACACTTCAGTCATTTAAGAGGTTAAATAAGGGCTGCAGGTAACAGTTATAAAACAAAAGTGTACGCCTCTTGCAGCCGCTATAGGACATTTGCATCAGTGCAAGATTCAGTTTTTATCAACTATACAACTCATCTCAGTTCACGTTTAATAGTCTAGTCACCACGTGACCGTTAGATCGCTGACGATTCTGGCTGTAAAGTGGATGTGCTGTACTTGCCCCTATCATCCCCTAATCACTCTCTCTCTCAACGAGCTCTTCCAATTTGGGTTGAAGAAGTCCTGTGGTGTGAATCTACAGCTCGCGGATGTTTAATAATAATAGTCCAATCATATTAGACGAAAATACACCTGATTTGGGAAACGATTGTAAAGTCTGGTTTTATTACCGCAAGTTGTTCAAGGGGTGTTAAAAACATGGACGAATACAATAGGTACACCAATTTTTGTGGTAAAACTTTTTATTCGACAATTAAGAATGAGAAAACGTGTTTTTTTCTTTTGGGGGGGGGGGATTCAATCGAAAGTGTTGGCAGAAACGAAAAAACTGTTCATATAAGATTTTCAAGTATTTATGCAGGTTTTGGTACTTGTTCGTAGGATTCGTACTTCTAAATAACCACAACAAAATTGGGGTGAATTGGTCAAGTAGTTTTTCAGAATTTCTTATTGCTTATCCCATATGTTATTTTTATGCAAAAAGGATAGGTTACGCTTTTTCTTCTAATCATTTAGTATTTCTGTGAGTAATTCACAACAAAAGATGATAGAGACATTAGCTTTATTTTAAAATGTGTATAGTAACGTACGATTAATTACTCATAAATACAGAATGTTTAAATTTGTTTGGAAGAAAAAAGCGTTACCTTTGTTTTTCGCATAAAAATAACATTTATGTTTCGGAATCGTTTGTGATTCATATCAGCAAGGTAAACACGTGTATTTTGCTATTAAATGCTCTTTGAAAGAACCCTGTATATTGCTCAATAAACTGGTAATGATGGTCGGAAAATAGGTGTTTTGAGATAAACAATTAGAAATTCTCAAAAAAGTACTTGATCCAATTTTGTTGTTGTTCAATTCTACGGATTACCAACAAGTGCCAAAATCTGCATTTTGCCTCGTATTTCGGTCATAATATTTTTACTATTAGTCGTCTATTTACGTGTGGTCTCATTTTGTAGGTCACATAAATACCTTAAAATCCTATATGAAAAGTTTTTCCGTTTCTGTCAACACGTTCGATTGAATCCCAAAAAAACACGTTTTCTCATTCTTTGTTGTCAAATAAAAAGTTTCCCCACAAAAATTGGTGTACCCATTTTATGCGTCCTTGTTTCAAATACCCCTTTGAACAACTTGCACCAATAAAACCATCACATACAATTATTTCTGGAAAATTTGCTAATATGATTAGACTATAAATAAATCGAGAAATAACAAATCAATAACATAATTGCAAGGGAAGTATATAGGCGAGTCTATCTACTTAACGCCACCTTCGTACCAGATATACTAAGTGACATATAAATCCGAACACCCAGTTTAAATGGTTTTATTTTAATAAAAGTTGGTGAATGTATTTATCGTACTGCAAATAACAAGTGAAAAAATTTTCGGCCTTATCAGTTGGACATTCCGGTTTTTATATTGCTTTTTTTTAATTCACTAACGCTCTAAAAATGAATATTTCAACCGCAGTAAAGAATCAACGTTGGCGGATTTTGGTTCTTGACATCCTTTACGATCGGTTACGATGCCTAGAGTACAGAGACCTGTACGATTTCGTCAACTTAGTGAGTTTGATAGGGGCCGTATAGCTGGACTTTCTTTTCGGGCAATTGCAGTTAGAGTGCAAAGAAGTGTAGACGCTGTTGTTAGGTGTTGTCAGGCATGGCTTCGAGAAGGCCGTACGCAAAGAGCAAGGGGCACTGGACGCCGCCGTAGAACAACAGACCGTGAAGATCGCCGCCTAAGATTATTGGCCTTAAGGGACCGTTTCTCCATTACCAGGTCCACTGCAAATGAATGGTTTGCAGAACACGGAAGACCTATTGGCATGCGAAGTGTTTACCGACGAATGAGAAGTTTTGGCTTGTTTTCATACCGGCCACACTGGGTCCTGCCTTTAACTCAAGAACACCGACGTAATCGCCTTGAGTGGTGCAGACAACGGTCACTCTGGGATCAGGAATGGAACAGTATTGTCTTTAGTGACGAGTCTCGATTTTGTTTAGGCATGCACGATGGTCGTGCCAGGGTTAGAAGGCGACGTGGTGAAAGGAGGAATCCACAGTTTTTTGTTGAAAGACATGTTCATCACACTGTTGGAGTTATGGTTTGGGGTGCTATAGCTTATGGTTCTAGATCACCTTTAATCAACTTTCCAACAAGATAATGCCCGACCACATGTTGCAAGAGTCACAATAGACTTCTTTCAACATAATGATGTCACATTGTTACCATGGCCACCAAGATATCCCCAATTGAGCACGTGTGGGATATGATGGGTAGGAGATTGCTCAATTTGCAACGTCCTCCTCAGACTCTAGAAGCACTTCGAAAGGAGTTGGTGGTTGCCTGGAATGAGATACCACAGGAGGACATTGACCACCTGATCAGAAGCATGCCTAGGCGCGTTGGAGAATGCGTAGCACATCAGGGTGCATCCACACATTATTAAAGGTCAAAGGGCTTTAAAGCAGTGCAATCATTTTGAATTTTTTATCATTTACTTATTATGCTTCATTAAGAACTTATACAAAATTTTATTAAAATAAAACCATTTAAACTGGGTGTTCGGATTTATATGTCACTTAGTATATCTTGATCATATGGTACAATATTTTGGCGTTTCTTTTTTCTGAAGTCCTTTACTTCAATGATCAGACTAATTCCGATATTCCAAATACCTCAGAGCTACAAAAAAGTTCGCGGAACTTAAAATGCCTGTAATTTGTACAAGTAGTAGAAAGCCATCGTATCAGCCTATAACCTACAGAATTCTTCAGAGGAAACAGGAGGAAAACAAGCATGATCCAGACGTAAGTAAAGATAGGTCACGCTAACCTTTCAAACTACCATTTTGACATTCGTAGACATTGAAAACGTTCAGTGTCAGAGCATCTGAAACATCGTCATTATCATCCGCATCAAAATCTCTAGTGGGGACAGCTGTACCAAATTCTACTGCCAAGGAAAGATTATCACGAAGAGCGGTATGTAGATTTCAACATTGATTCACGTATTTTCCAAGAAAATTCCCAACCTTGGATTAGTACGAGTTCCTTGAAGGAAAGCACCGCGGTAGTCGAAACGTTAGTAATTCTCATATACAGGGTGTCCGCAAAGTTGGGGTTGTCCTTTTCAGAAGCAACTACCCATGAAATAAAGGTAATGTGTAGTGAAACGAGGGCGACCAAGTAAAAAAAAATAAAGGAAAAAGTACTCACTCTTCAGCTGACGAGAAGGGCTAAGTACGTCTCTGCCCGAAATCATACCGCTCCAACAGAAAATGAAATCAGCTGATGCGCTACCGAGCAGACGCAGGCGGTGGTGCAGACCACGAACAGAGGTAACAAATATGACGGCGTTGCCGCGTTTTCAGTTTTTAGGTAAACGTACTTTATAGGTATTGTTCGAAGTTATCGCCGTTTGATTCAAAAACACAGGTGCGTGCACGACGTAGCCAAGCATCGGTGTCCCTCCCCCGAATGAAAGCACCAGCTTGTTCAATTCTGAGACGAAGTTCGTCAACCGTATGCACTTCAGTTTTGTACACTAAGCGTTTCATTTCTCCCCAAAGAAAAAAATCACATGGTGTTAAGTCTGGAGATCGCGGAGGCCACGCTACGGGTCCATTACGTCCGATCCACCTATTCGGAAATAATTCATTCAAAAACTCACGCACTTCGCGTCTAAAATGGGGCGGTGCACCATCGTGCAGAAACCACATTGATTGTCTTACACTTAATGGCAGGGGAGACTGTTGTACCATGGAACATTTTTTATGTTTTAATTTTTTTAATTTTTTGTAACTGTTTATTTAACAAAAAATGTATGCCAATGTGTTCGTTTAGGTGTTGGCTTTATATTTTTGTAAGAGTTATCAATTATTAGAATTTAAAATAGTAATAAAATGGATATTTTTACTGGCACGTCAAATGCTCCATGGTACACAACCGTAATGTACCATGGAACATGTACTCTTGTACCTTGGAACATAATAAATCCCAGGTACTTTGGTAAATGGAATGCAAAAAGAGAGATGTCCAGAGTATTATTTTTAATAAATCATGTTCCAAATGACTCACAAATAATAAAACCTTACAAATAACTAAAACAACAAACATTAGTGAAAAAAAAAATATAAGAAAAGATTTGTTTCAGCGTTTAACACAAAAATCACAAATATATATTTTGCACCCTTCTTTAGTTGCAGCACAGAGTTCGTGGGCCCATCCTAAGCAGGACATGCATCGGATCCATTGCACTCCATGAATGTCATTTTTGAACGATTCATTGCAAAAAAGGCACTCCTCGTCATTGCTGTCATCATCATCAGTTTCTACAAGATGAACTATATCGTCCTCCTCTTCAGAAGGTGAATATTGAACTTGTTTCCTTTGCTGATTCTTCTTCTGCCTCCTTACTTTTAATTTTTTTGATTTGTCTTTATTTTGTTCATTTGTTTCTTCTATATTTATACGACGTTTAAAGGAGACTTTCTTTTCATTTTTTAACCGTTCTTTTTCCGGAGTGTCTGTTGCAATCATGGTTTTGCCACGCTTTCTTCCTTTATTGGTAGCTTTTCTTGGTTTTGCTTTTGGGTAAGGTACAACGTCTTCAGGTAGTAAGTTTACAATGTCCGTTGATTTTCTTTCTGTTAGTATGGGAAACTGATTTGAGTCAGTATTTATTTTGATTTCGGAAGGACCTGGTTTACTAAGTGTCTCTTTTGATATGTTCAAATTTGGTTGATATGGCCCTTGTAAATTAAAGTCCACACTGGTTCCAGGAAACACTGCTTTAGGCCTATTCTCAGATTCCTTTTCGAAATTATGAAGAGTGATTGAGCCTTCCTTTGCATCATTTGGGCCAATAGATTTTGGATCTGGCCTATCAGTAGCATATGCTGGTAAAAGGTCTTCTTCAGAAAAAATGTTTCTGTCCGGCTTTCCGGAATCCATTGCAAATGTTTATTGGACAGAACGCACGTGGATATGCCTTGCCAACTACTTGTCCAACAGCATAAATGTCAAAAGTCTGTCCAGGGTTGTTAAACAACCATTCCGTCACTAACTGGTTGTAATGGCATTTAAAAGATCCGTAGACTGACAAGTCTAGGGGTTGCAATTTATGAGAAGTGTGTGGGGGGAATGTCACAATGACAACGCCATTGTCTGAAGCCAAATTAAGAGTTTTTAAGTTTAAGTGGGTTTCATGATTGTCCATAACTAAAAGTACACGATCTGACTTGGATGGCCTTACACTTTTTATGAAATGATTCATGAATTGTAAGAAAGTATCTTCATTTGACCACCCTGTCTGTGTAGCAGCCCCAACCGATCCCGGTGGAGCGCCAAATAACATCCTCTCTTTGAAGTGTACACGGGGAAAAATCAACATAGGACTTATGTGATTTCCACTTGCACTGACTGCTGTTATCAATGTAACTAAATTGCCACGTTCAGCAGAAGTCACACTACCAACCTGTCTTATTCCTTTTGGTGCCACAATTTTTCCAGGGGTTTGGACAGTGCTCATGCCAGTCTCATCAATGTTCCAAATCCGCTCAGCTGGAATAGGTCCAAAGCGGTTATGCACACTTTCAATATTATCAAAGAAAGCACTGACATTGGTTTTATTGAAACTACTTGCCCTACTTAAGCTAGTAGCCTCAGGTGTCCTTATAGATAAGTCTGGGTGACGTTTCATAAAAGCCCTCATCCATTCCTCACCTGCAATTTGATTCTGGTGCCATGTATCTGGAGAAGCTTTATTATTTGCTGCAGCAAACTTGAAAGCGAGTTCTCTTACACTTTTTTTCGTCAAGCCATAATTCATTTTTGCCACCTTTTTTATATAAAGGAGCAAACAATTCTCTTCATAATCAGTGAATACTTTTTTGTTATCCAGTCTTGGTTTATATTCGAAAGTTTGACTCTCTGATTTTCGAAACCGAGAAAGATGTCTTGACAAAGTTGTTAACTTAACACCAAATATTTTACATGCTTCTCTTAAAGATATATTTTCTGGATCCAAAACTGCCTTAACAGCATTTTCTAATGCAGTAGAATTAACAGGAGGTCTTTTGACGTTCAATTTGCTGCGAGGCATTTTACCTAAAACAAGAGAAAAACTCGATAAAAAGTATCGTCATGTACCATGAAACGTGTTCCAAGGTACAAGCTGTTTTATGTTCCAAGGTACAGGAAGGGACCTTGCCGAAACAAAATCGCTTCCTAACCTACAAACTGTCGTAAACTGATTGTTTAAGAGGATGAATCTACTCACCACATTACAAGGACTTCTATTATTCTAATAAAGTCCACAATCCGACTAACACCTTCGATTAAAGAAAACGAATTTGAAATTAAAAATGTTTACTTCTGTCTTTGAAAAATAATATTTACTCACAAAAACCACGGGGTGATCAGTAGAAAGCTCAAATTATTGTAAGGGATCTGTAACGGTAATCTAATTTAGGAAATTTATTTTCCGGCCGCTAGATGTCAGAACTATGAAAAAATGGTATGTGTTCCAAGGTACACTATGCCCAAGGTACAACAGTCTCCCCCACATCTTCTAACAAGGAAGGCAAAATGTTGCGTAAAAATTCTAGGTATTGCATCCCGTCCAATCGATTTGGGAGAATAAATGGTCCAATGAGCATACCGTTCACCATGCCAGCCCAAACATTCACCGAAAATGTTTGTTGTGCCCGACGGACAGCGTGCGGATTTTCTACTGACCAAACATGTGGCGAAAGCTATTCACCCCATTACGCGTGAACGTAGATTCGTCTGTCACCAATATCCACTTCAAAAATTCCGGATTATTGTCATGTTGATGCAACAACCACTCACAAAACCGCACTCTTTCTGGAAAATCGTCAGGTTGAAGGGCTTGTACACGTTGCACGTGAAACGGATACAGCCCCTCTTCACGCAGCGTTTGCCACACTTTAGTTTTTGATACTTGCACTTCTCTAGCCACGTCTCTAGTGCTTGTTGAGGGATTCTCGTCTACGCGATTCAGTAGTTCTTCCTCAACTTGCACCATTCGTCGTTGTCTAGGCCTCCCACTGTGCCCACCTCGAAATTCCTCCAAATGGCCCGTATCCCTGACTCTGGACGAGGTACACAAATCTGCGGGGCCTTGGATGATGTCGTCTAGGGAAACGATCTGCATACACTCGCGAGGCCTCTGTAGCATTTTGAAGACATTCGCCATAAATTAACAACATATCAACGAGTTCATTATTGGTGTGTGAGTGTGCCATTATTTTCTTTTTGAAACGCAATCGATTATACGGGTTCGTTTACCTCTACACGCGTGACCGTAACCGTCGGTTGAAGGTTGCATGACACACTGACCCCGACCCAGTTCTGTCGTCGGGTTGAGCTAGTGACCTTGTACCATTCGGTGATGTCGCGGGTCGCGGCTACAGGACGGTATTCAGATATTTTTGATGTTGCAGAGCCCTTTATCTCGGTTCCCTTAAGACATTGGTGTATATGGTACTAAGAAAAATTGCTTACGTTTTCAAGATCTACACGTCGTGTAAAGGAAAACCCCACCTTTGCGGACACCCTGTATACTCAGTGATAGAAGTGTTACACCCAGAAAAAATAATTTCTTCAATTTGTTTTGTTGCAAACATAATGACTATATTTAAAGCATGTTGTGGCAACAATGTTAACGTTTTATCTTTGCTTTTGTTTACCTTTGTTAAAATTTTATCTGAACTATACTTTAGCGCATATCGCAAATATTACATTTCTTATTTTAAAATGAAAGACTAGGATGTAACTTGCACGAAAATATCATTTTTTCTTTAAGAAACCCTCTGCTTGCTATTTTATAGAACTTCAAAGTTGCATTTTGTGTGGTAATACTATGGTATAGAATGCAGCTTTATAAGCTGTTCCTTTCTTGTTTACACAAAAGATTGCTCAAAATTATATGAATATAACATGCAATGTAAATTACTGTGACACTGGTCATCGCAATAATGCAATTTTGCATTATTTTAATGATGAAAATAGTTCAATGTTACACTACACCACCATCACTATCCTACTCTCTCCATCTAGTTACTATGTTGCCAAATCATGGATAATTTTATACCCTAATTTGGTTTGTCATATTCTTACTTATATACCTACTAGCGCTAAAATGTGCAATCGGCACAGAATTGTCACTAAAACGCGATTTGGAGATACACACTTCGCTTATTGTTTTTCCTTTATTATACTTATGATCTATTTACCTTTTGTATGTATGTACTTGAAGAATTATTTAAAAAGAAGCTGATGTCACAAAATATACCTAATTAAATGTGATATAATGAGAAATAACTGAAAAAGTAGCTGTTGCCAACCACTAAATAATGAAAACATAACAAAGAACATTGCAAGTTTTTTCATGATCCTTAATCTTTATTTAACTGTAATGCTGGACGATGATATGTTGGGTGGACCTGGCGAGGGGTCCAAATCGACGAATCGAAGTTGGGTTTTTTATATGCACTGACCGCTGGTGCATTTTCCCCTGTTTAGACATACTGGTTCAAAGTTTCATCTAGTTTTCGGTAAATATTGGGTCAACTTTTCATACAACAAGCCATTTATAATAAATTGAGACTTTTATTTTGCAAATAACCTCGTTTTTTATCACGTATTTCTCCCAAAAAAGGTACAACTTGGCAACAATGGACATCATTTATCTTATCTGTCATGAAGTGAACGTTATAAAATGGCCATTCAAAATTGTTTGTAATTTCAAATATTTCTTATAAACGCAAAAACTTTGATCTCATTGAAAATACGCGAAAAAAAATGGTTAAGGAATTTCAAGAAGACTTTGAAAAATCACAACACAACACCTCTACACAGTTTACCAAGTAAATACAATAATTTACGTATGTATTTTGAACTATTATTTTAGCTGATAAGCTAATGTGTAATAACACGGCTGATTTTGAACCTTTTTTGGCAAAAAACGATTTTTCACACTTAAACTATAATGGAGATCCTTCATCTAAAGTTTTCAAATAAAAACGTCCTGCACTTTGTATTCTTAGAATTTTACTAGGATGAAAAACCTAAATGGTAACAGGTTTTTTTTATTGAATCTAATGGATTATATTAATCATTAATTTTAGTCTGAGTAGATTGAATATTAATGCAGATTTTCTAGTCTGAATTAACACACCAAAGTAACAGGAGCTCGAAAGGAGATTATGATGAGTTACTTGCTGAACGAGTAAATACTGGGAGAGAGAAACAAATTTCCACTAAAAAGGAAAAGGTACGAGAACTTTTTGGTGGTTGCCCCATTAGACCAGTATTGTTTTTTTTCTAGAGGGTGTCCATAAAGCCCGACGACGAATCCATTCTTTCGATAAGTCCAAAGCTTCAAGAACTCCAACAACTTCACAACCAGTTGACCAGAAGTTCGTACATACCTGTCACCACTACCAAAGTTAGTACCTATACAATATACATATAAACTATCAAATTTCTTCCAAAATCAATCAACGTTTAATTAAAAAAACCTTTCAAAATGATTTGGCATTTATTAATAAAATAATTCCGTCCTAATCGAACCTCATCAGTCCAGTTTTTTATTCGTCGACTATGTGTTCCCTTCACTGTTGCTTAAAAACAATTTCAGCAACAATTTCGCCGATTTAGTAAATAACTATTTTCCTCCTAATTGTTATTTGTTGCTATTGTGAATAATTGTTTCGAGCTCCAGACGATGAAGACATAGATCTTCGAAAGCTCGAGTCTAAGTTATAAGAGTGTACTTTTTCAATACCTTGCCTTCTACCCAAAGAAATTCAAGGATATATATTGTATATATATATTATTATTACGTCACACCCCACTGGCTAGGAATTATCGTAATCGTGAAGAGTTTCAAAAATGGGATATTTGAGGGATTGTTTCAAAAATAAGGGTCCCATATTTTTTCTTATTTGAAAAAACGAATTCACCATTGGAAACGTTGGTCTTTAAGCTGTTTTTATAAATAGTCGCTATTTTTTCCGCATTTTTTTAGACGTGGTGCTCCTATATTTGTAGTGTACCACAAATCGTGACTCACGTCATGCTTCTTCATACCCATGAAAAATTAACTAGAAATCTTGATTTACAAGTCATGGTGACCGAGTGTGTTACCACATATTCATAGTCCATAATTTCATCTTTTTATGTAAATCAACAATACTGTTTTTCATTAATATACAGGGTGTCCGCAAAGTTGGGGTTTCCCTTTACACGACGTGTAGATCTTGAAAACATAAGCAATTTTTCTTAGTACCATATACATCAATGTCTTAAGGGAACCGAGATAAAGGGCTCTGCAACATCAAAAATATCTGAATACCGTCCTGTAGCCGCGACCCGCGACATCACCGAGTGGTACAAGGTCACTGGCTCGACCCGACAGCAGAACTGGGTCAGGCTCAGTGTGTCAGGTCAGAATGCAACCTTCAACCGACGGTTACTGTCACGCGTGTAGAGGTAAACGAACCCGTATAATCGATTGCGTTTCAAAAAAAAAATAATAATAATGGCACACTCATACACCAATAATGAACTCGTTGATATGTTGTTAATTTATGGCGAATGTCTTCAAAATGCTACAGAGGCTTCGCGAGTGTATGCAGATCGTTTTCCTAGACGATATCATCCAAGGCCCCGCAGATTTGTGTACCTGTTCCAGAGAGTCAGGGATACGGGCAATTTGGAGGAATTTCGAGGTGGGCACAGTGGGAGACCTAGACAACCACGAATGGTGCAAGTTGAGGAAGAACTACTGAATCGCGTAGACGAGAATCCCTCAACAAGCACTAGAGACGTGGCTAGAGAAGTGCAAGTATCAAAAACTAAAGTGTGGCAAACGCTGCGTGAAGAGGGGCTGTATCCGTTTCACGTCCAACGTGTACAAGCCCTTCAACCTGACGATTTTCCAGAGTGCGGTTTTGTGAGTGGTTGTTGCATCAACATGACAATAATCCGGACTTTTTGAAGTGCATATTGGTGACAGACGAATCTACGTTTACGCGTAATGGGGTGAATAACTTTCGCAACACTCATGTTTGGTCAGTAGAAAATCCGCACGCTGTCCGTCGGGCACATTTTCAACAAACATTTTCGGTGAATGTTTGGGCTGGCATGGTGCACGGTATGCTCATTGGACCATTTACTCTCCCAAATCGATTGGACGGGATGCAATACCTAGACTTTTTACGCAACATTTTGCCTTCCTTGTTAGAAGATGTGCCATTAAGTCTAAGACAATCAATGTGGTTTCTGCACGATAGTGCACCGCCCCATTTTAGACGCGAAGTGGTGGATCGGACGTAATGCATCCGTAGCGTGGCCTCTGCGATCTCCAGACTTAACACCATGTGATTTTTTTCTTTGGGGAGAAATGAAACGCTTAGTGTACAAAACTGAAGTGCATACGGTTGACGAACTTCGTCTCAGAATTGAACAAGCTGGTGCTTTCATTCGGGGGAGGGACTCCATTCTCAAAGCCTGCACCGATGCTTGGCTACGTCGTGCACGCACCTGTGTTTTTTAATCAAACGGCGATAACTTCGAACAATACCTATAAAGTACGTTTACCTAAAAACTGAAAACGCGGCAACGCCGTCATATTTGTTACCTCTGTTCGTGGTCTGCACCACCGCCTGCGTCTGCTCGGTAGCGCATCATTTTCTGTTGGAGCGGTATGATTTCGGGCAGAGACGTAGTTAGCCCTTTTCGTCAACTGGAGAGTGAGTACTTTTTTCTTTATTTTTTTTTACTTGGTCGCCCTCGTTTCACTACACATTACCTTTGTTATTTCAAGGGTAGTTGTTTCTGAAAAGGACAACCCCAACTTTGCGGACACCCTGAATATTATACTCTACGGTCTTATGTCAGGATAAAAGGATTCTTAGGTATTTCAACCTCGTCGGCCTACAATAGAAACGATACGATTGGCGATAGAACAAGCAAAAAAAGAAACTAACAAAAAAATGGGAACTGAAGATGTATCAGCTGGGATCTCCCTGAACGATGCTGCAACTTCGACTGATAAAAAGAAGAAGATGATTACAAAGAAAAAGAAGCCAGGCTCAGCCAATCAGAGCACAGGTACGTTTCCAATGCACGAGAGTTATCTCAAATGTATCCCACAATTTTTTCCAGGCACACGGAATTTTTTAATTGATAAAAAGGGTTTACCATCGGAAACGTTGATCTTTAAGCTATTTTTCTATTTAGCCGCTCATTGCGTACCAAAGTGACTATCGGCGTACATTTTTTTCTCTGGAGAGATATTCAAGCAGCAATCAGATTTTTCCTCAAATCTGGCGATTATTGCGACCGGTGGGAAATTTTCGGGGGATAAAACGTTCTGGGGATTTTTTGGGGAGAATAAAATCGTTGGGTTTGAGGTATTTTATTCCATTTTTAACTATGGAAAACTATCCACTGCTAAATAACAATTTTATATCGCACCCATCTCCACAAAACATCAACGCTGACTCATCTCTACATCTTTATGTCAATTGCCCCCTAAAAAATCTAGGGGATTTTTTTTGCTTGCTCTGGGGAAGTTCTGTTTGATCCATCTGGCAACGCTGGTAGCCATTAGTACTGCAGGGTTGCCATATTGGGGGATTTTTCCCCAAAAATGGGCGATTTTCTCATCCCTTGGCGAATTTTTGGTGGATAAAACGTTCTGGGAAATTTTTTGGGGGAAAATAAAATCGCTAGGTATTTTTGGGATATTTTATTTCATCTTTATCTTCAAAAAACTTCCAACTGTTAAATAACAGTTTTATGTCGCACCCATCTCCACAAAACATCAACGCTGACTCATCTCTACATCTTTATATCAATTGCCCCCTAAAAAATCTAGGGTATGTTTTTGCTTGTTCTGGGGAAGTTCTGTTTGATCCATCTGGCAACGCTGGTGGCCATTAGTAATGCAGGGTTGCCATATTGGGGGATTTTTCCCCAAATATGGGCGATTTTCACATCCCTTGGGGAATTTTTGGTGGATAAAACATTCTGGGAAATTTTTTGGGGGGAAATAAAATCGTTAGGTATTTTTGGGATATTTTATTTCAACTTTATCTTCAAAAAACTTCCAACTGTTAAATAACAGGGTTGCCATATTGGGAGATTTTCCACCAAATATGGGCGATTGTCACATCCTTGGGCAATTCTTGACGGATAAAATATTCTGAAAAGTTTTTTGGGAGAAAAATAAAACCCCTGAGAATTTTTGAGGTTTTATTCCATCTTTATCTTCAAAATCTGCCAACTGCTAAATAAGAATTTTATGTCGTACCCATCTCCACAAAACATCAACATTGACTCATCTCTACATCTTTATGTCAGTTGCCCGCTAAAAAAGTTGCAAATCTAGGGGAGTTTTTTGCTTGTAATGGGGTATTTCTGTTTTATCCATCTGGCAACGCTGGTAGCAATTAGTACTGCAGGGTTGCCATATGGGGGGGATTTTCCCCCAAATATGATGGATTTTTACGTTCCTTGGGATTTTTTGGGAGAAAAGAAAACCGCTGTATATTTTTGGGGTTTTATTCCATCTTTATCATCAAAAAACTGCCAACTGCTAAATAACAATTTTATGTCGCACCCATCTCCTCAAAACATCAACGCTGATTCATCTCTACATCCTATCAGTTGCCCTCTAAAAAAGATGCAAAACTAGGGAATTTTTTTGTTTGTTCTGGGGGAATTATGTTTGTAGGCTTGCCATATTGGATGATTTCCCCCCAAATATGGGGTATTTTTACGTTCTTTGGGGAATTTTTGGGAGATAAAATGTTCTGGGGGATTTTTAGGGAGAAAAATAAAACCGTTGGGTATTTTTACGGTTTTGTTCTATCTTTATCTTCAAAAAACTGCCAACTGCTAACTAACAATTTTTTGTCGCACCCATCTCCACAAAAGATCAACGCTGACTCATCTCTACACCTTTAGGTCAGTTGTCCCCTAAAAAAGTTGGAAATCTAAGGAATTTTTCTGCTTGTTCTGGCGAAATTCTGTTCGATCCATCTGGCAACGCTGGTAGCCATTAGTACTACAGGGTTGCCATATTGGGGGATTTTCCCTCAAATATGGATTATTTTCCCCCAAATATGGGTTATTTTTACGCCCGTTGGGGAATTTCTGGAGGATTTTTTTCGGGAAAAATAAAATCGTTGAATATTTTTGTGGTATTTCATTCCAAATTTATCTTCAAAATACTGCCAACTGCTAAATAACAATTTTATGTCGCACTCATCTTCACCTGCTCGTCTCGTAGACCCAAGGGCCTCATCCATATCTCTGTTGCAATGTGAATCGGTCAATTATTTTTAATAAACAGGGATAAATTCAATAAGGAAAAAAAAGATAGTAGATTTTTATTAACGGTATAGAACATACACTTCAGCTAATTCGTGATTTTGGAAGGTGAAAATACGACTAATCATGAAATTACAGTCGACCAGTTCGGTTATATGCTAGAAAACTGGTATTTTCAGCTCCTGGGGGCTATTTCAAGTTACTTATAATCGAATAGTACTTTCAAATAACGTACTTTAGATAGTAGTATTTTCCATGGACATGAACAAGTTTTGTGCGCATCCTGCAATTAGGAAACAATAATTGACGCTTGAACGGGAAAAAAGTTTGATCAGAAGCTTGTGTAATCAAAATATATATTACAGGATCTTCGCGATCTACTAGTGCGACACGCTCGACAACGATTACGAAAGAAAAGAAAGTCGCTAAGAAGAAAGTTGAAAATGATACATTTCCACTTAGGATAAAAATAAAATCAACGGTTACGAAGTAGAGCTACTAGCTGTATGTTCAATCTAATCATCATTTGAAATATACAACATTTTATCGACTTGATGTCTTTTAATGAATTTAAAATTAATTCAGGATGCATAATATAGTAGAATCCAGAAAAATGATATGTCAAACATTTCCGCTTTCCTCGAACACTGAGTCGTGACATTTCTGATGACGATTTTTTACATAATTTCAAAAGAACAAAAGCCAACTTCAATTTCCAGCCATTAAAAACTCAGATTCCCAAAAATGAAAATCAGGCACCTCAGTAACTAGAACTGTCCTCATATCTCCTCGCGTTTCTGTTCTCCTGGTAGCAAATCGCATCCATTCGGTGATTCAGTTCTACATAGATATTTGAAATTAGAAACAAATTGAACACAGATTCTGTGGTTGTGTCATCTAGCGACTTTAACTTAAACAAGCTAAAAAAGTGCTTAGATATCTTTCCTGTCGTCATATTGATACTACTTGTTAATAGATGCCAGCACCCATTTTTAGGGTAATTGCGGTTTTATGGATTTTTTTTATTATGAATACAGATTCACGTCATTAGTTTACTGATCAAACCCTTGTTCAGACATTTTGATATAACAGGCAGTAAGCAGGGAAAATGGATATTTCTGTTGTGGCGTCATCTCAACATGGTCAACTTAAGCAGTGTGAAACAGTATAAGTTCTGATTGACAGGTGGAAGCACCTGCCTCCGTGTCTTTTTCCTTGATTTCTTGAGGGTAATTCCATTCTGGCGACATCTCAACGTGGTGATTTGAAGCAGTGTAGTATAGTAAGAACTTCATAGATGGCAACACCAGATCACTTTGCTTTTTCTGGATGTCTGCGACTATAAGTGAAAGTAAAATTTAATCACTCCTTCAAATTGCAGTTGCACCTGTTGTAAGTACCAAATCAAGTATTTGCAACGCATTTCGTGAGGTAAAAGGACTTCGTTAATGCTGACTGTAGGCAACATTGATTGCATGCTAGGTATAGTGATGAAGTTTCTCGGTTCGATATCGAATATTAAAAGGAGTGATGACGTATGTCGTTGATTGCTTTGATTTTGACAGCTTCAGTCATCTTTCGCTTTAAGGTTATTTGCTTCCACCTCACGTTTGAGGCCAGAAAAATCCATATTTTTCACAATATTTTCGCTCCAAAGTACTTTTGAAGGATGCCTGCCGCCGAAGAAGTAAAATCCAGCTGGGCTGATGAGGTAGAACTCGAAGGAGGTGCCCTTCCACCTTCCACAGAAGTCTACGAAAACGGTTTCAAGATCGTCACCGAATACAAGTACAATGAGGACGATAAAAAAGTGAAAATCGTACGTACCTATAAAGTAGAAAAGAGAATCGTATCCAAAACTATCGCTAAAAGGAAATGCTTGAAGAAGTTTGGGGAAGCCTCGAATGACAAACCTGGACCCAACCCAGCTACTACGATTGTTGCCGAGGATGTGTACATGCAGTTTCTTACAAGCAAAGAGGAGGATAATAAGACGGAGGATGATGCGTTGGATAAATTGAAAGGTGAGAAACTACTATCTATTCCATCTTAATTTTACAACTAGGCGTCTGTGAAAACACAACGTGTAAAGCATGGATCGTTAACGATTGCATTAATTTCGTTATGAAAATGATGTTGATGAAGCTTTTTTTAACAAAAATCGAACTATTTTGAAGCTTACTGCATGAGATAACATCAATAATATACATTTAAATATGCATTTTCGTATTTTAGAATATTTTTATTGTAAAACCAAAACAAAAAAATCAAATGAAACACCCAATTTTCAAGTTTTATGACTTTGTTAATGTATAAAGGACGTTAATTTTATAAAATCTTAAAAATTAGTGTAATTCGAAAACGGCTAATTTTCAGACAGTAGTTCCCATAGTAAAATTGACTCATATTGGCTTGTACTATCTCCCCCCACTGAAATTCTGAAATATATTTGAAAGCTTGCAGCAATTGAAGATTTTAATGCAGACTAGTTTTATCTAAATTAAGTTGACCTAAACAATTTACTGCAATATATACAACTAATTCTTAGAGCTTTGAACAGTAGACATCAATGTTTAATGAATTTTTCAGTTCATTAAACCCATATGTAACAATTTTCTGTCAAGCAAGGTTTGCAAATGTCCTTTTGAATGCACATTTTGTAACCAATTTTACCTGCAGGATCTAAAATTTCCTATTTTTCCATTTGATCTGAAGATCAACATTATCTAACCAATTAGAAACCATTTTCGTAAAACTGCATCAAAAATTGGTCAGTATCATAGACCTGCCTTGTAGATGATAAAACCGAATTCCAATCAAACATAAACACCTGAGAAAATTGTAAAAAAGATTTCCGTTGCTAATTAGGTGTAGATTTCAACAAACTCCTCAATTATCCTCCATTATGACCTTTATCTGGTCTACACAAATGTATACTGTTGCTTTGTTGAATTTTAGAAAAAATGGTAAAACCTGATAAGAAATTGTATGACAAAATGAAAGGTGTGTAATAACACAAAGTCTTCACAGGTTCAAGTCACTCAATATTAAAGATATATCTGTGTTTTTTCTCCAAGAAATATACATACATTATAATATGCATAGTGAAATACTTTTATTTTATTAAAAATATACTAAGTGACATATAAATCTGAACACCCAGTTTAAATGGTTTTATTTTAATAAAAGTTGGTGAATGTATTTATCTTACTGTAAATAACAAGTGAAAAAATGTTCAGCCTTATCAGTTGGACATTCCGGTTTTTATAATGCTTTTTTTTAATTCACTAACGCTCTAAAAATGAATATTTCAGCCACAGTAAAGAATCAACGTTGGCGGATTTTGGTTCTTGACATCCTTTACGATCGGTTACGATGCCTAGAGTACGGAGACCTGTACGATTTCGTCAACTTAGTGAGTTTGATAGGGGCCGTATAGTGGGACTTCGGGAAGCTGGACTTTCTTTTCGGGCAATTGCAGTTAGAGTGCAAAGAAGTGTAGACACTGTGGTTAGGTGTCGTCAGGCATGGCTTCGAGAAGGCCGTACGCAAAGAGCAAGGGGCACTGGACGCCGCCGTAGAACAACAGACTGGGAAGATCGCCGCCTAAGATTATTGGCCTTAAGGGACCGTTTCTCCACTACCAGGTCCATTGCAAATGAATGGTTTGCAGAACACGGAAGACCTATTGGCATGCGAAGTGTTTACCGACGAATGAGAAGTTTTGGGTTGTTTTCATACCGGCCACACTGGGTCCTCCCTTTAACTCGAGAACACCGACGTAATCGTCTTGAGTGGTGCAGACAACGGTCACTCTGGGATCAGGAATGTAACAGTATTGTCTTTAGTGACGAGTCTCGATTTTGTTTAGGCATGCACGATGGTCGTGCCAGGGTTAGAAGGCGACGTGGTGAAAGGAGGAATCCACAGTTTTTTGTTGAAAGACATGTTCATCACACTGTTGGAGTTATGGTTTGGGGTGCTATAGCTTATGGTTCCAGGTCACCTTTAATCTTCATCAGAGGTAACATGAACGCGCAGCGTTATATCCACGAAGTTCTAGAACCCCATCTTTTACCCTATCTTGACACCCTGGCAGATCCAACTTTCCAACAAGATAATGCCCGACCACATGTTGCAAGAGTCACAATAGACTTCTTTCAACATAATGATGTCACATTGTTAACATGGCCACCAAGATCTCCCGACTTATCCCCAATTGAGTACGTGTGGGATATGATGGGTAGGAGATTGCTCAATTTGCAACGTCCTCCTCAGACTCTAGAAGCACTTCGAGAGGAGTTGGTGGTTGCCTGGAATGAGATACCACAGGAGGACATTGACCACCTGATCAGAAGCATGCCTAGGCGCGTTGGTGAATGCGTAGCACATCAGGGTGCATCCACACATTATTAAAGGTCAAAGTGCTTTAAAGCAGTGCAATCATTTTGAAATTTTTATCATTTACTTATTATGCTTCATTAAGTACTTATACAAAATTTTATTAAAATAAAACCATTTAAACTGGGTGTTCCGATTTATATGTCACTTAGTATATCATTGCCAATACAATGCATAAATATTGCACACACACAGAGGATGTGATTCATATATCTACAAATTCCAATGCTAGAAAGCAATTTAATCACATGGTGAGCATTTTTAAAAACATGTCCCTTTTTCTAAAATTATGTCTCTCAGGTAGGTAATACAATCTTCTTTTCAATAAAGTACAGGGTAATAGATATCATATCCATCTAGGCATTATAACACATTCGATGCGGGTAGGGTTTGAAGGCTTCCCTCTGATTGGTCAATTTTTGATGCAATTTACTAAAACATTTTCTAAATATTATATGTTTTGATCTCTAGATCGGCTGAAAAAAGTATGTTTTTGTAGCTAAATCAGGTAATTCATAAAGAATTTCTTGATTTAATATGGGGGTTAGAGTCCCTTCTTACACAAATCATATATTTTTTCGCTAGTTTTTGAGATATTTTATATATTAGATCCATTACTATTGTCTACTATGTCCTATTAGTAAAATTGTGCCTAAGACAAATATTAACAGGTCCACCATTTGGGATATGGATTTAATATTTTTTCTTTTAGCTCTGGGTGACAAAAATGTGGTAAAGTGTCGTAATTGCAATGGTGACCATTGGACCTCAAAATGTCCATGGAAAGATACAATAATTGCAGGAGGAAAGATTGATGATAAAAAGGTAAGAGAATAAAGAGGAACCTCACTTTTCAGTTTATTATTTAGTCAAACACACCACTATTAAACAAATGATCGTTGTATGTAATATCTGAAACTTATCCTGTGATTTTCATGCTGGGAGTCCCTCTTTAGTCTGTCCTAATCAAACCACATATACAATAATGATATAGACAAACTAATATTGTGCTGTATTTCTTTTTTAACTTGTTTTATTAATAGACCAACCTGTATACGTATTTCGTTATAGCATAATACTCACTTATACATAAATAAATTCATTAGATTCCCTTCAATAAAAAATTAATTGAAAAAACTGGAACTATCAAGGACAAAAATATATAGACAAAGCAAAACAATTGTAGAAAAAAGTAGCCAAGGTCATTGAATTATAGAAAACCAACCATGTTTGTGTTAATATTTTGTAGCATAACCATTATTAGCAATCACCGCCAATTTTCACTGTTATACATCAAATATTGTTCGAAATATTTAAAAAAAACTATTTTAGAAAGTAAATTTAAACACCCTGTATTTCGGAAGCCACGCATTTTTCGACCCATGTTTATATAGATTTTATGCATTAATTTTAAAAGTTCTATCGAATCTTAAAGTTATGAAACAATAAACTGAAACACCCTGTATATCCTTTTTCTTAAATAGTGTTTCATTTCAAGATTCTTAATTGTTCAAAAAATATATATTGTTTTATAAGAGAGTCACAGATCATCATTTGAGTAGTGACTGTGCTAAATTTATTTTGAGTAATGACCCAGGGTTAACCAATATTGAGTAGAACGTTTTCGTTTTCTCCATATTTGACTGATATCTTTTCCAGGTTGGAGGTCCTGTCGGTACCCCCGGTGCCGTGGGTGGAGACAACAAGCAAACAGGATCCAAATATGTGCCTCCATCACTTCGAGATGGTGCTAAGAGAGGAGAAGGTCCCAGTGCCATAAGACGCGATGATAGTTATTTTACTGTCCGTATTGCTAATCTGAGTGATAGCACTACTGATGCCGACTTGGAGGATCTTGTCAGGCCATTTGGGCCGACTTCGAAGGTCTTTTTGGCTAAAGATAAGGTAAAAGAATTTGTATCCGAGAATTTATCTGCAAAATCCATTGTTTGTGTTTTGTCTACAAACATTTGCATAGAAGCTATGTTGCTTTTTTCATAACACTACTTAACATTTTCACTTTATGTATGTTTTATTTTTACAGATCACAGGCCAGTGCAAAGGGTTTGCGTACGTTCACTTCAAGTTTAGGAATGATGGTGCCAAAGCTATCGCCATGCTAAATGGTTACGGTTATGATCATCTTATTCTCACTGCTGATTGGTCAAAGCCTGCCAATACTAACTAATAAATAAATACATCATTCTTTCGGTATTTCTTTTTTTACTGGGTTCCTTAACAATGTGTCTGTTATGGATGGTAGCAGCATCCTTGATATAAATTTTATCAGACTTTATCAATAAGTGTTGTTGATATAATGCTGTTAACCATAACAGACAAGGAAACAATTAAATCACAAATATTGCGTATGTAAAAGTTAATGTGACCAATTTCAAATAAGGTTAACATTCTAGTAAGTCAAAACCCTATATTATCATTGGACAAATCTAATCTATTTTAAAACCATCAGTGCATCTTGTTAAATACTATATTACTGTTTTCCACTTTTTTAAACAACAATGTTATCCTATCTAAAAATTCAAATAAACTTATGCGACTTGTAAGCAACACTGTCCCTTATTCTGGCACCTCTCAAATTAACAGCTTTTGGTAGAATCGATTCTCTTAAGTGGATTCCCTTTTTTTCTGGCGTCCAAGCTCGGAAAGAATATTCCGCGTCTGGACCACAATTTATTGCAACCCATCCTGAAAAAAAAGAGGATAGCTCCATAATACAGTGTAAATCTGAAGTCAAAGATGGGCTAAGCAATGAAAAAAATATACAGGGTGAGGCAGAAGTGATCATCCGGTTTAAAGCAGGTATCAAAGAAAAATCGAATAACTTCCAGGCTTGAAACTTTTTTATTTTAATTTGTATGTAATCCCATTTTTTTAATTTAGTTTTGAACACAACTTCAGCAATATGGTGGCCTTCGCAGCAATACACTGATGTAGTCTATTTCTGAAGTTTTGAGCTATACTAAGTGACATATAAATCCGAACACCCAGTTTAAATGGTTTTATTTTAATAAAATTTTGTATAAGTACTTAATGAAGCATAATAAGTAAATGATAGAAATTTCAAAATGATTGCACTGCTTTAAAGCTCTTTGACCTTTAATAATGTGTGGATGCACCCTGATGTGCTACGCATTCTCCAACGCGCCTAGGCATGCTTCTGATCAGGTGGTCAATGTCCTCCTGTGGTATCTCAATCCAGGCAACCACCAACTCCTCTCGAAGTGCTTCTAGAGTCTGAGGAGGACGTTGCAAATTGAGCAATCTCCTACCCATCATATCCCACACGTGCTCAATTGGGGATAAGTCGGGAGATCTTGGTGGCCATGCTAACAATGTGACATCATTATGTTGAAAGAAGTCTATTGTGACTCTTGCAACATGTGGTCGGGCATTATCTTGTTGGAAAGTTGGATCTGCCAGGGTGTCAAGATAGGGTAAAAGTTGGGGTTCTAGAACTTCGTGGATATAACGCTGCGCGTTCATGTTACCTCTGATGAAGATTAAAGGTGACCTGGAACCATAAGCTATAGCACCCCAAACCATAACTCCAACAGTGTGATGAACATGTCTTTCAACAAAAAACTGTGGATTCCTCCTTTCACCACGTCGCCTTCTAACCCTGGCACGACCATCTCGTGCATGCCTAAACAAAATCGAGACTCGTCACTAAAGACAATACTGTTCCATTCCTGATCCCAGAGTGACCGTTGTCTGCACCACTCAAGGCGATTACGTCGGTGTTCTCGAGTTAAAGGGAGGACCCAGTGTGGCCGGTATGAAAACAAGCCAAAACTTCTCATTCGTCGGTAAACACTTCGCATGCCAATAGGTCTTCCGTGTTCTGCAAACCATTCATTTGCAATGGACCTGGTAGTGGAGAAACGGTCCCTTAAGGCCAATAATCTTAGGCGGCGATCTTCACGGTCTGTTGTTCTACGGCGGCGTCCAGTGCCCCTTGCTCTTTGCGTACGGCCTTCTCGAAGCCATGCCTGACAACACCTAACCACAGTGTCTACACTTCTTTGCACACTAACTGCAATTGCCCGAAAAGAAAGTCCAGCTTCCCGAAGTCTCACTATACGGTCCCTATCAAACTCACTAAGTTGACGAAATCGTACAGGTCTCCGTACTCTAGGTATCGTAACCGATCGTAAATGATGTCAAGAACCAAAATCGCCAACGTTGATTCTTTACTGCGGCTGAAATATTCATTTTTAGAGCGTTAGTGAATTAAAAAAAAAAGCAGTATAAAAACCGGAATGTCCAACTGATGAGGCTGAACATTTTTTCACTTGTTATTTACAGTAAGATAAATACATTCACCAACTTTTATTAAAATAAAACCATTTAAACTGGGTGTTCGGATTTATATGTCACTTAGTATATTTCTGGGGGTATGGTGTACGTTTCCTCAACCGGGTCTTTAGCTCATCTAAAGTGTGGGGGCGATGTTTAAAAACTTTCTGCTTCCAATAACCCAACAGAAAAAAGTCGCACATGCTTAAATCTGGCGAGCGCGCTGGCTATCCCAAGTCACGAGTCGACTAGGAAACATTTGTCTCAATTTCATTTCAAATTAGTTTTGTCACTCAATTGCGGCTCAAAAAAGTTTCTCATAACGATCAGCTGTGACAGTTACTGTTCGAACATTCTCCTAAAAAAAATAACGTCCAATGATCCCAAATTGTGACATTGGATAACTGTCAGCCCAGTACGTGCTTAGAAACAGCCCCAGAGAGGTGAAAGTGGGTCTCGTTGCTGCTGAAAGAAGTTTCGGGGATTTGTTCAAGCGTTTCTTGACAACGATGTAATTATCAGGCATCAGTTCTTGAACAACCATGATTTTATAGGGATGAAATTAGAGTTCTTCATGCAGAATTCTCCTTGAAGAGCAAAAGCAATCGCATGTCGCCTTGGTGACAATTCAACTGCTGCCCTCGCAGCCATCACATTTTCGGGTGTTGTGACAGTAATGGGTGTTGAAATGTACGCCTGTCCAAATCATGACGTCAACTGAAAACGGGACGATGCAACAGTCACAATGACACCCCTCTCCACTTCCTACTCCCACCACAGAACAAGCAATTAGTTTGACAAACCGGTTCCTTACTTATGCCCCAGCTTGTACAAGGTGCGTCATCTATTACTTTTTTTTTCTATTTGAAAAATCAACACGCTTTCTACGAGGTGAAATCGAATTTTTTTATTGATAAATGAAGGTTGATTTATGACATTTATATATGAAAAATAACATCAGTCATGTGACCACCGCGGCTTCGTTCACAGGCCAACATCCGAACGTCAAAATTTTCAATGACTTTTCCCAGAATAATCGGGTCTATGGCCGCAATTTCAGTCCGAATATTGCGCTTTAGTTATTGAATTATCCGGGGATCATTCGCATACACTTTTCCTTTCAAAAATCCACAAAGAAAATAGTCAAGAGGTGTTAAATCGGACGATCTCGGGGACCACTGACATCTGAATTTCGTGAAATTATGCGGTCTTGAAATTTCGTGTGCAATAAGGCGGTTGTTTGGCGTTTGACTATAAATGGCATACCTTTGACAGTTCATCTATGCATACCACATTACTTTTGATTCACATGGTAACACATAAACTTATAAGTAAAAAAAGTAATAGATGGCGCACTCGGTACATTATATTCTTAAAATTGCGTCTTTATACATTTATTCTTGTAAACATATGCAAATGCTCATTGTCGATTTAAATCTTATTTACTACTCGACAAGACAAGAACCACCGATCGTAACTCCTATTTGCTAGTCGCTGCCCGCCGAGGCATTCTGTCAAGTGGCAATATCAGCTACAAACAAAGCTGGAGGAATGTGTGGTGGTTCTCCGCAATGCCTTGCCACGCTGAAGATTAAAATCCCATGACAAAATGGACGGGGTAGCACCCAAACCAAAACAACTAAACGCAAGGGTACTACTCCACAAACTGGTGTTCGGCACCCAATATCCTAGAATCTGGAGGTGGCCGATAAATGTATGCAACATTTTAATGGTATTACAGACCTATACGTAGATAACAAAGGTTACCTGCACTCGAGAGAACGACATCTTTCGACGATGTTTTCCAATCTGTTCCCGTAACAGTGAAAACCTTTGAACATTCAAGTCCCGGCCATTTTGTGAGCCTATCACCTTCGTCAACAGGCACTTTAAAAAGCTCCGTTCCAAGACATTCTTCGTAGATTTTGTCAGCATTTTCCAACGGGCAGATTGTCAGTGGCAGTTCTTTCGATCTGAATACGGTCAATCTACAACAGGCGGCGGCAGTTAGTAAAAGCATTGATTATGTATTCCATTTTTGAGGGTGATTAAAAAATATGAAAAAGTTTTTATAAACATGGGTCCGGAAATGCGAGTTTCCAAGTTACAGGTTGAACTGGGCATCTTCTAGTGGAATATACAGGGTGTTTGGTGCATCGTTTGCCAAATTGAAATGGCGGACAGCGGAGGTCTTTTTCTATCACCCCAGGTCCCTCAAACAGTTTTTAGCCCAACGGAATTAATTATTTTGATTTTTCAATTTTTTTTTAGTAAAAACTCCAAAATGGAATACACAAAGTGAAATAAAAAAAAATAAAGAGTATGTCCGCCTAATGATTAGCGGCTAATGATTAATTTATCTTAATGGGTGATGTACCAATTTTACAAAATCAACATTACTTGCCAGCAGCCTGTAGTTTTTTATTTATAAACACAAAGGGTTACAAAGAAGAACAAAAAAAAATTTAAGCCTCAATTTTGAATTTCTCGAAAAAAAAACTAAACGATTTCACGTTCATTCATTTTTTTTTATTTCACTTTGTGTATTACATTTTGGAGTTTTTACTAAAAAAAATAAAAAATCTACGTAATTAATGCCGTTGGGCTAAAAACTGTTTGAGGGACCTGGGGTGATAGAAAAAGGCCTCCCCTGTCCGCCATTTCAATTCGGCAAACGATACACCAAATACCCTGTATTAATACTTACCTGATAGATTTTGGACCATCCAAAAAGTCCAGCCTAGCCAAGCCAGCGATGAACAGGCTAGTCCTTGGTTTGACACAAAAAGTTTCCGGCCGTATAATTTCTTTTGGGATGGTCAGCATCAACTCGTCAACTGTCAAAAGATTTATGATCTGCTCTTGTTGGACGACACCAGGCGTGTCATAGCACCAACGACTTGCGATGTAGTCTGGATGTCTCTCATTTATACCTGAAAATTTAATGTTTGATTCGAATCTTTTCCTGTAGAAAGTAGTAGTTCAAATGTCACAATGATAGTAGTTCAAACACAATGCCGACGGTAGTTCAAATACTCAAGATCAGTAGTGCAAACGCAACAAACTGTAGTTCAAATAAACCGAATGGTAGTTCAAAAACAACAAACAGTAGTTCAAATTCAACACTAGTTTTAATTCGACAAGCACAGCAGTTCAAATACACGTGAATGAGTTCAAATGGTACATAGCCGGTTGCGATGTTGATATACATAAAATAAGATAGTTGACTGTAGACATGAATTTTTCACTGCTCTTATCCTGTCAAATATATCATCGTACCTAATGTTGTCTGTCCTTTAGCGCCTGCATTGACAATATTCGCAAAAACGTCCTTGGGCTCGTCAAAAACCGTTTTGGTGTACGACTGTCCTATCCTCCCAATGAGCGTGGCAGATTCAGGTGCATTGTTACTCCTCAGACTTTCTTTGCGAGTTTGCTCTTCCTGTTTCGTGATCATCTGGAGTTTCTTCAGTCTCTCTTGTCTGATGAAGAGCCTTCTGCGTGACTGTTTCATTATGGGAAATTTGAGTAGGTTCAGAGTGGTTCCCGGCCATTGACTCACTGTAGCGCGTTGGATCAAGTCGGAAGCTTGGACTTTGCAATAGTCTGATTTGATCAGGGCGTTAAATAGGCTGGATTTACCTGGAAAGTACGACTGATTCAGGATCTCAACGTCGCTGTTTTGCATCAAGTCAGAACGTTGTGAAAGATTAAGGTTTTGAGCTAGTGTCGTCGAGCAAGTTGATTCTGTACTTGACAGCATTGTATGGGACTTGATAAAAAAAATGGGCGTAGCAGGTTATAACGATCGATTATTCCAAGGTGTTTGACAAAATAAATCATGAGTTAACAGCGAAGTTGAGGTACAAGGGGATGTCTTTTAAGTTTTGCATATGGAAATAAAACAACACGATAGGTAGTTTTAAATGAAAAAAACAAAAGATCAGCGTTTCCAATGGTAAATTCGTTTTTCAAATAAAAAATTTCTTGAGCCTGCAACAATGTGAGAACCATATTTTTGAGACAATCTTTTTTTTGTTTCTGATATCTGCTATCTAACAATTTTTGTTTTTTGGCATGGATGGCTAAGTGTGAGAGTAGCTTGTTGCTAAACTTCGCCACCACTTTCAACTCTTTGTATTGAATTGTATCATTTGATTGCCAGATGTTGGCCAGGACATACGGGAAATTTTAAATGACAGTGCGGCATGCTGATTGAGTCAACCTACTTGACGCTTACCTACATTGGTGCACCCTACAATATAAACATCTCCTCTTACATTCCAATATCTCGTCAAACAGGAGATGAAATTTTCCACACCAAAACCTGTCTTTGCACTTATCAGTGACACCCCCAGGATATTCGCAGACCCAAAACCGCACATTTTCAGCTCTTCTATCAACATCTCGCTAACGTGTTTCAGAAACTTATCCTGGTCTTTCGGCAGCAAATCCACTTTGTTGCCCACAACATGGATTGGCATTTGCGGACCTAGAATATCTGCTAGTCCGGGCCAAATTGAACATGGGAAGTCCATGAGGTCTACCATGAGAACTACCAGCGCTTGTTTGTCTCTTATCGAGCTGAGAATTTTCGGGTAGTCTTCTGCGGATACACTGACTTGTAAAGCTGTGTTGTGCTCTTTGAGAAAGTAACATCGTTGGCAAATGATCGATTGTAGAGTGGCTGCTCCATCTCGTTTGTGGTTGTCGAAGATTTCTGAAGGGATGTAACCTGGTATTGAAGGATCCTATGAGATAATGAAATTTTATAAAATGCGATATGCCCATAGATATAATTTAAAAAATCATAAGCATTATCCAAAAACTTCAAGCGGAAGTTTCCAAGATGGTATAATTCGTCAATAATTAAGAACATAAAAGATAAGGCAAGAAACCATCGTAAATGGAAACAAACTAAAAACATTTTTTACAGAAACGAGTTCATTAGACGAAGATCACTCAGCAAATCACAATTAAAGGTTGCATACGAAAGCTATTTGCAAGAAGTTCAAGAGTCTGTGAGAAATAACCCAGCTTCTTTTTGGTCATTTATACAGGGTGACTTTGAAGTTGAGTCATGAATTTTCAGTTAATGATTGTAGAAGGAAGATAAACCAAAATATGTGTGTAAAAATTTAAAAAAAATGTTACCTTGTTTTATAAAGTATCCTCCCGACAAGTATTTCAGTGCGGACCTGTATTTGATCGTAAGGTCCCCTGTGAGGTCTTAAGTCACCTGATTCACGAGCCCTTTGTACTACATTAACAAAGGCACGAGGGGTTGGTTGCACTCGATTGGGAAACCGATCCGCATAATTCCGTGATGCCGCGGCAGCATTTTGTAAAGACTCCCACGCAACAAACACCACTATTCACTCACGCATTACCGACTGACACATTGACTGAATACAACTGAATAAAATTGTAGTAAAAACATCGTGATAAGCGTTTCAAATTCTTTCGCTTTTTTGTTTCCGATGCGATGAACCGATAAGGCGGATTATATCCGTTGTTGCCAAACACGAGCACATAATATTATTATTGAGACAGGGCGGTACTCAAAATTCTAAAGGGCTATAACTTTGTTACTTTAATTTTACCAGAAAAATGTTAAAGGAAAAAAACATTTCTTTTGATCAGATCTACTCACTGTTAAATGACTCAACTTCGAAGTATATCAAAAGAACAAAACATCACGGATTCCATATCATATGACTCATCTGAATAATGACTTTGGTGATCCTCAGTCAATTGTAAATGCTTTCGCTGAATTTTTTAAGACAGTTTACTTGTCATCTGATACCTATTGCGGTGAAAACCTATCTTCTAACATTCAATGTATTGTCAACTTAATTCAGGAGAGTATAACTGAACTGAAATATGTGATGCAGCAAAAAACTGAAGTCAAAGATGACCTCAGGGCCAGGTAAGCTCCCCTCTTTCCTGGTCAAGGATTGTGCGCTTGATATAGTAGATGCTCTGGTTATTCTTTTTAATCTCATATTATCTACAGCTAAATTCCTAGATAAATGGAAGGAAACCAGGGTCTGTCCTATTTACAAAATATATATAATATAAAAAAAATAAGCTATTTCTCTTAGTCGACATTGAAAACCCAAATACTGTATATTCACAGATATAACTAAGATAAGTAGTGTTGAGATCCCGAAAACAGACTTACTTTGCAATGTAAGAGTGCCCCACAACCACCACATGGTACATTACTGACTCTACTGTTTGGATTTGGAGTACCGTAGTTTATACCATCGTCATCTAACTCATCCTCATCCACATCTTGTATCATTTCTAAATCGTGTTCATAGTTCTCATAAGACGTCATCCAATTTTTTAGCTCCTTATTCCTCATTCGTATCTCTTCCTCTATCGAGATATCCTTTTTTTCTACAGTGGTTTCTGTCTCGATTGGAAGGCTTTCAACAGTAATGTTGCTCTCGTATGGAAAATGTGTTGGATTTGGTTCATGATCGACTGCAACTGGTTCATCTTTAGGGTCCAAGGTGCTCAAATCTTCTCCTAAGTACTTTAAGCTCAGAGGCAGAGGTTGCGAGTTCTCTAGAGATCTTTGCATCTGTTCTAGGTCACGTTTTGCTTTTGCCATTACACTTTGGTTTCTTTTATATCCTAATTTTAATTTCTTACTTTCTATAAAACTGCTATACAGAACTTTTGATTCATATTTTTCGCAAAATGCGTTGATATTTTCGTATTTTGTTGCTTGAGCCACCGATTTGTTGAACCTCTTTGAAGACGCATTTCGTAAGGCGGCTCGCAACACGCAAAACGTGAGGTCACTTTTTAAGGTAACCAGCTTGCAAGACTTTAAGCGAAACATTTCACATTCCACAAAACAAATTCAAATTAAATTTGAAATTTTATTTTTGAGGTTACTTTGCAAACTTTGGCGACAGCGGCAACAAACTGACACCGTTCTTTCTTGACAGACTAGCCGTCGCTGCGATTCTGTAAGTAAAGACTTGGAACGATCAGGAATTTTGTCCAGTTTTGAACAACGGTTTGGCTGGTCACAAATACGACAATAATTCCAAAAAGCTGAACTACTTTGTAGACCTTGTCGCTAGAGTTCCATCTCTTACCTTTACAACTCGCAGTCCAGTTCTATATAAAAAATGAGGCGGTGTTGACATCTGTCAAGTTAGTAAACAAAAATCAAACCAAATACTGAGGAATTCTAGGCGATTTTCGCAAAATAATTACAAAAGTTAAGTGGTGATTCCGCGAATTTATAAAAATGGGACGAAGAAAGTCTAAAAGAAAACCAGCTCCAAAAAGGAAGGCCATCGAGCCTCTGGATACCCAGTTCAATTGCCCATTCTGTAACCACGAAAAATCTTGCGAAGTAAAAATGTAAGTTTGTAATTATAAATTCAGGCTTCCTTTACGTCTCGAATTCGCCTTGATTTTAGGGACAAAGGGCGAAGCACTGCGCGCATAACCTGCAGAGTATGCCTTGAAGATTTCCAAACCACAATAAGTTTTCTATCGGAACCAGTGGATGTGTACAATGACTGGATAGACGCTTGTGAAACTGCAAATTAGTTAGGGGTTTTTATATTATAATGGTAGTATTAGCAACATTAAGTTAGTCATATCAATGCATAAAATGTGACAAAATCTTTCAAAATTTATTACTGACAGTGTCATTTGATCTGCCTTAAAGTTGCTATAAAATCTTCAGTATACCAAACCATTTTATGGCTACGTACACAGTACAAGGCTTCCTGAAATTTCTACCACAAGTATTTCAAAATGCAGAAACTCAAGTAGCACTGCTTGGTTTTCTATCAGTAATTGGAGCATGGGTAGTTATTACGAAGGTTATACAGTTTTTACTATCTATTATTTGGCCTCTCATCATACTAGCATTCTTAATGATAATGATGCCAAACTGGTGTGTAGAAGTGTTCCCACGTTATGCAGAAATGTTCATCGATACAGTGAGGAGAACCTATGGGCATTATGCGGCAAATTATCATCTGAGGAAAGAACCAAGAGCCTACCCTCCTCCAAATCGCAGAACTATAATGTAAGGTGATCTTACATACCCAGGAGACAAAGTTTTTATTTAATGATTTTAATATGCTTTATACTGGTGTTTTAGGGGTTATAATTTTATAATTTGCAATATATCATTTATATTTAATTGAATGTGTTTTGGTACCATTCCTCGCTGGCCTTTCGTTCTTGAAATCCAATATCCAGGTAGGATTTTGGAAACATTTCTAATAGTCACATTTTTCAAAGAAAGTGTAATTGCTTCAACATTAAGAATGATTGTGACGAAATTACTGTCAAACCCAAGAAGGTCTGTTCGAACATGTAATCTAATATTTTGTTTAGAATTATTTATTTCAATTTTGATTAACTTATTTCAGAATTATCTTTGATTTTCACCAGAATTTGTCGCAATCCTGACTTTTCATTTTGATCTAAAATAGTGCGCCGATAACAAACAAATTCCAGACAATTCAAAAATGTGTATATTCAGCATCAAACTTTTATTTAGAGCAGAGTTCCCCAAACTTTTTTGTGTCGTAGACCACTTGCCATGTTTTTCTGTGTTGGGTAGACCCCCTACTTACCTGATATTGATTTCCTGTAAATTTCTAACTGTAGTGAAGTTTTAAAAACTTAAAGTAAAAACACATGTTAATTTATACATTTATTAATTGAATTTAAATTAAAACTACTCAAAATAAAATTTTGTATCTGTTATGTAAAATATACGTAACATTAAATAATCAGGTGTCTGACCAGTTGTATAGAGAAATGGATCGTTTGCAAATAATTACATAAGAAGCTTTCAATATCAGAACTCATTTCATCAATACGTCTTTCAACAGTATTGTTGCTTAAGGGAATTCTTTTAATGATATCAGATGCAGGTTTGTGTAAAACAGTTTTTAAAACCTCTTCAACGGCTGGCAAAATTAACTTATCTCCGATAGTATGCGGTTTTCCCGGATTTTGCTATAAGTAACGAGATATTGTAAGACGCCCGCAAACCATCATCATTTCTTTGTGACGTCGAAGCGAACATTCTGTCCAGTGTAGGTCTCTTTTGAAATTTATCTTCGAGTGTTTGAAAGTATTTCAAATCTTTCTCTGTTTTATCAGGGTGGCATCTTCTCAGATGATCTTGCAGTTTAGATGGTTTCATAGCGTCATTGCCCAAAACTTTGTTGCATAAAAGGCACATAGGCGATTGTTTGTCCGGCAATGATGGAATGAAGCCAAATTTCAAATAATCAACACTGTACTGTCTACATTTCTTTTTAGATTCAGACATGGTATCAGTCATCTGTGGGCAAAATTAAATCATTTAAATAAGACAGAAAATCCAGCAGCTGTATATTAAAAATATTTTTTGATTTTTCCGAAAACATTCCATAATTCGAACATCTTCTTGCAACAATTAGCTCGAATTACGGAGATTGCACTGTAATTATATTACCGATTGCTAAAACTTTCAAAAAGAAACTATTGAGGAGTTCTCGTGTAATTTTGCATGATTGAATATTTAACTACTAATAACTAAAGTAATGATTGGCGTAATTTATCTATCTTTGCTAACTACGAGTACAAAACTAAAATTTAATAAAAAATAATGTACTTACTTTTCTCCAGCACTCTCAAACAAAATAACACTGACTCAATATAATTTGTGTGATATACTATCTGTTTATATTTTTTAAAATATTTTCTTAGCACTTTCCTTTTCAAGATTCAGGAAACGAATAATCGTATTTGTCCCACATTCGTATTTATAGTGACGAATTGAACAAGTCAGTGCAAGGTAGCGAAGCTCTGAGACTGCGACTCTCATGTTTTTACAAGTTCAAAATGTATTGTGACCACAAAGTGAATACCAACATCCTACAACTTACACAATTTTATAAACATATATAAGAATTTATTTACTTCATAGGTACTTTTATAAATAATGTATATGTTTTGATATTATAAGATAGTATGATGTAAGTAAATAGGTACTATCAGTGTATGTGTTGAGATCCACTATCGTGGACCCCCATATTCATTTCATGGACCCCCAAATTTTTTTTCGCTAACGTAGACCCCTTGCAGGTTGTCATAGACCCATAGGGGTCGATATAGACCACTTTGTGAATCAATGATTTGCAGTCTTTTATCACTTACCTACCTTGGGGGCAGAAAAGACAGAACTAAACACACATCAACTTATTCACCTTTATTTTCACTTTATATACAAAAATACTATACAAGTTTAGCTTAAATTAATTTTAATTAACAAAATATTTACAACAGTTTGAAACTCCATTAAAATATCCTTGCAATGATTTGTTGGAACTGGTAAACCATCCAATAGCGAAAGTGATATAGAGAGCTTTTCAGCATAGTAAATTTTGGTAAAAAGAGGGGCACAATATGTATTATAAATAATAAAAATATACAGGCACGTAGAATGATTTGAATAACAATATTTCTAAAAAAAAAGAGTATTTAAAAATAACAAGCTCTAAATGGAAACTTATCTGAGAAGCTAAGAGAATACAATGTATTTTATAGGATCTTTTTATTTGATCAAATCTACCTTCTGTTCTAGAAATATTGTCACGGTTTTTTTAATCACTCTATACAGAAACATAACAAGGATTGCATATCAACAATTAAGAGCACCAGTTCTCTGGTGACAAAAGTGTAAAAAGTAGTATATTGAAATAATAGTAAGCACAACGAGACATTTAACCGATAGAAAGAAATTTCCAAAATTCTTCAGGATTAGGTTTGGCTAGCTCAGGCATTTCCCGCTGCCGACTTCTTTCTGTGTCCATAAAATTTTCACTTTTTTTCGATTTGCTCAACTTTTTTGGATCCTTATGTATCTGACAAACGCAAAGGCAGCAGAAAGCACACAATATATAATATATAATTGCGTTAGTAAATGTCTAAGAACTGACATGCCATTTAAAAAAGGGTTTCCATAAAAAACAGAATTATACAGCATAAAAAAGTTAACCCAATGAATCTTATGAAATACAGAAAAACCACAAATGTAAAATTCAAGTTTTTAAGTTTTCTAAATGGCAGAGGTCAGTACCGGACTACAAAAGTTGTGCCACAGAAAGCTAAGCTTCACAAACGTTACAAAAATGTCGCTGATGATCAGGCACTAACGGTTGATTCCAATCAACTAGTACTTCTACCTTTGACCAAGTAAGAAACCTTAAAAAAACCTCTCATTTCATCTTCTCAAAATTTATAGTAACCTGCTAAAATAAATAGTACGATAGTTTTACGAGGGTGATGCTTGGCGAAATCTGGCAACAGCGTCGTGTTTGTCGGCTCCCCCACCCCCGATCCCAACAAGAGGCGGCCATTCGCGATGTGCTAAAGTCGATTTCACGTCTAAAAAAATGGCGTCTATTGAGAAAAAGATCAGCGTTTCCAATGATGAATTCGTTTTTTCAAATAAAAAATTCCTTGTTCCTGAAAAAATATTTTTGAAACAACCCTCGTAACATCAATTGAACAAGATCCACGAAGAATTTCAGGGTTTTATAGTGGAGTTTATATACAAAAAGGCATGTAAAAATCACTTTACACTTCACACGATGAACAGTCGTGAATTTCATTGGGCTCAATAATATCGCAATTTCAAATTCTAATGTATATTCCAGTTTTCATTCTTAATTATATTTTCCTCTGAAGAAATACTTTGCGATTTTCTTTCATACACTTGGTAGGAAGCTTTCATAATACGAAAATAAAGTTAAAATTGCTTGAATTACATCTGGTCCCATAGAGGGCAATTGAACAAAATTATATTCAAATATCTATTTTTTATTCTATTTAAAATATTTAATATTTACAAAAATGGTCGGCAATGATGCCATTGATTTTTTTAACGCTTTAACAATACCACATTTTTATAGAAAAAAACATACCGAGATAGAATATCTAGAACAGCTTTTAGAGTCATTATAAAGTAGCTAAGGATAATGAATATCAGGGCTTTAATACAGAACTAGACCAAAATCCGTTTTGTCGATTTCGCCTTTTTTTTAGTAAATGATAGATTGGGCTAATTTTGATAGACATACACTAGCGTTCAAAAGTATTTTAGCAACTGCATATTTCCATTTAAAATCGTAAACAAAAAAATAACTTCAGAGTACGTATTTATTTTTCTTTATATATTGAAAACCATCACCATGGAAATCATCATTAGCCAGGAATTTATTTGCCATTAGAATATTGTAATGTTTTTGTTTAATAACTTCCATCTGTTTCTTTGCTTTCTGGGCGTTCAAATACTTTTGAAGGGTAGTGCATATTTCAAAACATGTAATATCAAAACAACGTCTCGCGTAAAATTTCATTTTTTGTCACAATCTACGATGAAATATATGTATAGTTTTTCAGCTACTATTTCAGATTTCAGCCGTATTTTCATCTTGGTGGCATTAGAAAGACTTTGGGTTTGTGGTATATCTACAAGTGTAAATCAAATACGTCTGCCACAGTACGAACGCAATTTTGAAAGCGTTTTCCGAATTTCCAGAAACCCAAATAAAAGACAATACTTGCCTCGCAAAACGATTAAAAGGAAAACAATCCATAATATTCATAAAAAAATAGTAGGACCAGCAATCCAGGCTGTAGAGAAACCTGAGTTCCTCCATTGCTTTATGGCTAGTCTTTGGTATCGCAAGTAGACATTTTTTGACAACTGCAACTGCAATTGTCAAAACAACATTACGCTAATCATGCTCAGATTCAACTCAAGAAGTTGATTTATTATACTGTACCATTGTTTAACGTATTCCCCAAGAAGATGCCTGACGCTGTGCTGTAATTGAACGTCGCATACAATTTCCAACCTCATAGCCATGTTGCCATTAAGATAGCAGTAATTTCCATGTATAGTAGTTCAAATGTAACAAACAGTAGTTCGAATGAGTCGAGTTTGGTAGTTCAAATGCTACAGGGATAGTAGTTCAAATGACATAGCTGACTGCGATGTTGCCGTGTGTAAAATAAGTTGGTAAATTGTAGCTTTGATTTAATACCCAAACATTGCATATTTCTACCATCACAGTAGTTCAAATGAAACAAAAATAGTTCCAATGTAACAAAAAGTTTAAATGCGTCAGGAATAATAGTTCAAATAACACATGGCTGTTAGCGGCGTTGATATGTGTAAAATGAGTTGGCAGATTAGATTGTAGCATTGATAAATGCCCAATCTTGCGTTGGATTTGAAAATCCATCAAAAATTTGCATTGTCACAGCCATGTTGCCATTACAATCGCAGGAATTTCCTTAGCAAATGCAGACTCGATGCATAGTAGTTCAAATGTAATAAGCAGTAGTTCGACTGAGTCGAGTTCAGTAGTTCAAATGCCATAGGGATAGTAGTTCAAATGGCACATAACTGACTGCGTTGTTGCCATGTTTAAAATAAGTTGGTAGATTGTAGCTTTGATTTAACACCCAACCATGCTGCAGTATTTGCATATTCAACAACAATTTCTAGAATTACCATCATGTTGCAAATAAGATTGCAGTAATTTCATTAGAAAAGAAAAACTCTGTGCATAGTAGTTCAAATGTAACAAAAATTAGTTCAAACGCCTCCGAAATAATATTTCAAATTACACATAGCTGACAGCGGCGTTGCCATATGTGAAATAAGTTGGTAGATTGTAGCATTGAATAAATGCCCAACGCTGAGCTGGGTTTGAATATTCAACAACAATTTCCATTGTCACAGCCGATTTGCCATTACAATCGCAGGAATTTCCTTAGCAAATGCAGACTCCGTGCATAGTAGTTCAAATGTAACAAGCAGTATTTCAATTGAGTCGAGTTCAGTAGTTCAAATGCCATAAGGATAGTAGTTCAAATGGCACATAACTGACTGCGTTGTTGCCATGTTTAAAATAAGTTGGTAGATTGCAGCTTTGATTTAACAGCCAACCATGCTGCAGTATTTGCATATTCAACAACAATTTCTAGAATTACCATCATGTTGCAAATAAGATTGCAGTAATTTCATTAGAAAAGAAAAATTTTGTGCATAGTAGTTCAAATGTAACAAAAATTAGTTCAAACGCCTCAGAAATAATAGTTCAAATTACACATAGCTGACAGCGGCGTTGCCATATGTGAAATAAGTTGGTCGATTGTAGCACTGATTAAATGCCTAACGCTGAGCTGGGTTTGAATATTCAACAACAATTTCCATTGTCACAGCCAATTTGCCATTACAATCGCAGGAATTTCCTTAGCAAATGCAGACTCCGTGCATAGTAGTTCAAATGTAACAAGCAGTATTTCAATTGAGTCGAGTTTAGTAGTTCAAATGCCATAGGGATAGTAGTTCAAATAGCACATAACTGCGATGTTGCCATGTGTAAAATAAGTTGGTAGATTGTAGCTTTGATTAAACACCCAACCATGCTGCAGTATTTGCATATTCAACAACAATTTCTAGAATCACCATCATGTTGCAAATACGACTGTAGTAATTTCATTAGAAAAGAAAGACTCTATGCACAGTAGTTCAAATGAAACAAACAGTAGTTCAAACGCCTCAGAAATAATAGTTCAAATGACACATAGCTGACAGCGGCGTTGCCATATGTGAAATAAGTTGTTAGATTCAGCATTGATTAACGGCCCAACCCTACGCCGGATTTGAGCCATGTTGCCACGTAGGATCATAATAATTTCCTCAGAAGTAGTCAATTTCCTGTTAAAAAAACGTGTTTATTCTTCAAAAATTATAACTACCTCGCCCGTGATTACTCCTTTTCGCGAAAAGTAAATCCCATACCTTGCGGCAACAGTCCGATATTTAGCAACGCTGGCGCCTAAAGAAGGTGGTCGACATGTGCGGTTCCATTAACTCAGGCATCTTCTGGTGGAATAGGTAAATCAACGATCAGTTTGTACGATTTGTACCAAGTTTTGATTTTCGGATTTACAGGATTTAGAATATCTACAATGCACCCTATTCTATTTTCTTGTTGTTCGGCTGTTGTTTCGTGATGGTTTGTGCGACAAAACCTTTTGTGCTGCCGTTAGAATAGTACGCTTCGTACGAATCCGAGTACTCGCTCTTGATGTACGTGTTGTTCAGTGTGCCATTGCTGTTCGATTTTTTCAGACCGTTTGGTGCGTCATCCAATACAGGCTGAAACAAAAATTGTCTTTAATAAAGAATTTATACATCTTTAAAGTGAGTACTGGTTGCGCATCCTGTCACGTGAGGTCCGTTCAACCTCAGACACTCTTGGTCAATATTCAAACTTCGAGTCACAAGTTTTATGTTGCTTAAAGTCCGTGTCTATATACATATATATAGATGGGTCTTCAGAATATTCAGAGAACCATCATAGGCGGTTTGATGGATGATTTAAGGATCATAAAATTTGGAAAAATATGTGTGTAGATATTATAAAAACAGCTGAGTCAACATTTACAAGAGCATCGCAGAACGCTAAAGTGGCACGTACTCCTAATATCAAAATATTGCTAAGATACATAAATATATAACCTTGTGTGAAAATTTCATCAAAAAAGTATTTCTCAAGTTATAGGCGGTAAGAAAATTAGCGGACGGACCGACGGAAACGAGTGACATGTAAAATGGCGCTCGTAGAAGCCTAAACTGACATTTTCATGCCATAAAAATGTCCTAGTTTTTTACTGTGTCCTGTCAAAATAAAAAAATCAAATTTCTTACCATGCAGGCACCGTTATTTTCGCTCCTCTTCACAGCCTTTTTGTCGCTGGTGTATTTGACCTTGTAGAAATCAGAGAAAAGGAAGAAGAACATGATTCCGTGCAGGGCGATCCAAACCATGAAGCTTTTAGGGTAGTTGCATTCGGTGAATAGAAGCTGGAACTGGTGGATGAAAATCGCCACAAATTGGACCTATAACCAAAAATATATACTAGCTATTACCCGGGATATCGTAGCCTTAAAATTGTTAAAATCATTTAACTAAAATTTTGACACATTTCGGGCCAATTTCACCAACATTAATATTTAACGGTCTCTTGGACCTATAGGAAAATACCTTATCGAAATGCAATTTGACAGAAACTCTCTGAATATCAGTGATTTCTAAGAAATGTTGAATAAAGTCGTGAAAAAACGGTGCCTTATAAATAAGGGTACATTATAGATGTATAGATGTCTTTCTGCCTTAGAATTAGGACAATTTTCATAGAATTTCAAATTTGAGAAAAAACGGTCAGTTATTTAAGTGAACCAATGGGAATGCGGCAAATAATCGGTCGATTCTCTAGCTATTATATTTGGTAGGATGTTTTCACTGTTTTTGACGACTGTCCATGCATGGAAATCTAGTTTTGTCTGTATATCACGTACAGGGTGTTGTACATAACCCGTGCCTGTAGAAATGTACAGATTTATGTTATTTTGCATAAAAAAAGGATATAAAACGTATTCCAAATGCTCTTTTTAAGGCACGTAAGACATTTAAATTATCTTGAAAAATCGTGGAGAATGATGTTAGCGGTAAATATTCTCTTTTCGGTAAAACTACCGAAATATGAATTTATATTCTAAATTACGTCAATATTTCATTTGGAGCTTTTATTTGTCATAAGATTTTAGCAAAATCTAAGACAGTAAAGGCAACACTGCACCCTGCCGCCCAGTTGACAAGAACGACAAGCTGTCAAGATTAGGGATGTTTAGATCCACGAAATCGTTTTAGGAAGAAGTATCGATATTCTAAAATAATGGAATAAAATTATCGATAACCAGCGGAAGGAAACAAAGAAGAAAAGTAATCTGAAGTTAGTCACCCTTTCTGACACAGTCCGGATCGAAAGATGACTATACTCGTGAAATATATCGATACACCCAAGTGTCGTATATAAAAATATCGATCCAAAATATCGGGTATGGGAAGTAAAAGTATCGATACTTCTAAATATAGGATCGTATCGAACATCCTTACTGTCAAGATGTATAAGCCGAGGTACCGACGCAGCTGTTTTGGCGAGTCATGGAAATAATTTTCAATTTTCATTTACATTTTTTCAAGTGTTGTGCAACGATTTTGGAAGTTGGCGGTGCGTACTCCAAACGGTACATTAATGCACAATCTGGCAACCACGTCGCACCCTCAAAAAATGGCCGCTGACAACCACACAAGTCACCGTGTTGTCATTGAATAGCATGGAATTAAACCTTCATCAGTGTATATGTTTTGTGACTGGGACCAGGGGTTGACGGATCCCACACAAGTGTCACTCGTTCGGCAGTTTTGAAATGTAATACTCAGCTGTTATTCCAATGATGTCTAATTACACTGGTCAACAAAATTTTAACTTTGTCGTGCCACACGGACTTTTTTGATATTTTTTACTTTAACTGGTGATTGTAAGAAAAAATAAACAGTTAAAAAAAATTTGCTAGACAAGGATTTTATTCTATTGAGTAATTTAAAATATTAAGAAAAAACACAGATCTCGTAAATCAAAAGTTATTTTTTTTATAAATGACTTAATAATCTAAGATTTTCTTGAATATTTAGCTTCTGGTTGGTCCCTTTTAATTGTCCAGCAGTAATCTGCTAACATATTTGGGCTCTATTTGCCCTGGTACCGCTTTTCCATATTAGAAATGTCCTGATGGAACCACTCACCGTGCTCGTCGCTGACAGCCCCTAAATTGTCAGGAAAAAAATCCAGGTGCGAGTCTAAAAAATGGATCTTAAGTGACATGTTGCAACCCAATGCTTGATATGACAATAATAGCTCGCTAACCAACTCTCTGTAGCTGTCACTCTTGTGGTGACCCAAAAAATTTGAAACAACATTTTTAAAAGCCTTCCATGCAGATGTTTCTAAATCGCTTAATTTTTCTTCAAATCTTGAATCTTTTATTAACTCCCTAATTTGAGGGCCAACAAAAATACCCTCTTTTATCTTTGCATCACTTATTTTAGGGAATTTTTCTTTTAGATACAAAAATCCACTCCCATTGCGATCCATTGCCTTCACAAAATTTTTTATTAATCCTAATTTGATATGCAATGGTGGTAGAAGCACATTATTTGGCTGTACAAGGGGTAAATACTTTACGTTTTTTTGCCCAGGAACTAACGTTGCATGCGTTGGCCATGTTTTTTTTTATATAGTGATTAAATCTGTCTAGGCTATCCCATTCACATAAAAAGCAGAAAAACTTTGTATAACTCAGCTGAAGTCCAAGTAATAGTGCAATAACTTTAAGATCACCGCAGATTTTGAAGGAATATGTACTGTAATTTATTTTTTCAAGTAAAAGTTTCATATTTTCATAGGTTTCTTTCATATTTGCAGCATGGGCCAGAGGTACAGACGGAAGCTTATTTCCATTATGCAATAACACTGCTTTTAGACTTGACAATGAATAAACGCCACTGAGAGAGATCAAAATCTATGTCCAACATTTTCATAATCTCATTTATGTTATTGCAAAACACCAAATCTCTATCCTGAGAAAAATACGTTCTGAAGTGTTGATCACGGTTTCGGAAATAGCTAACTTTTGTATTATGATGTAGCAAATTCCATTCTTTTAGACGTGATCCTAATAGTTCTGACTGCTTTTTTGACAAATTCAAATCCCGAACCAAATCATTTAGGTCTCCTTGAGTTATCAAATGTGGCTCGTTTACAATTCCTTTTAACTCAAAGTCATCGTCCTCGTCAACACATTCACCTGAAGTGGACGGTTGTGAATTGTTCTCAACAGACGTAGTTGCAACTGGTATTAGTTCTGGCAATTCTTTACAATGAGAGACTGGTCTTATAGCCCAAGATAAGTTTGGGTAAATAACTGTGGTTTTTTTCTTGTAATTTATAACTTTTATGTCTGTGAGACAAAAATAGCAATCTGAAACGTGATCTCGCTGTTCAGTCCATATCATGGGTACAGCAAACGGCATAGGTCGTGCACCTTTCTTCCAGTCAGTTAAATTTTTCACACACGTTATGCAACAGACATGAGGGGCCCAGGATTTGTCTTGATGGGCGACAGAAAAACCAAAACATTGGTGATAACACTCCAACACAAGATTCGTAAAATTTCGTCGTTGTTTTTTGAATGTTAGTTCTCCGCAGACATAACAAAAAGAGTTAGGATCATTATTACACTTCCTCGACATATTCACAGGGTTAATAAATCACAAAAAAGTGTTCAAATTCAACAAAAAATATTTTTATAAGGATTTACTTGTAAGCGTTTCTGTTAATTTAGTGCCGTAGTACTAGTTATGAGTATTACCGTATCACAACAAATATGAGGCTAATAGACATATGACAGCTGACATGTAATAATGAGGGTAGACTGATAAAACAAAATTAGCTGTCAAAGTTCGTGTGGCAAAACCAGTGTTATATAATCTAGAATGTCTAAAATATTGCAGATTTCTAGTTTTTTTGCTGGTAGCATTACGACATATGCTTGGGTATTTCTTGATCGCTGTGAATATAGTGTGGATGTTTGTTCAGTTCCTGAACAACGAAGAATATTCAACTTTATGGATGTATGGATATCAAAAAACCTGAATGGTTTTGTGGAAATATCAATCTAAGGTGCCATAATGGTTCTGATGAACGGCAAGTAAATGAATGAATGTTTGGAAACGAGCAATATCCATCCTATAAAATTTTTGGTAGAGTCTGTCATCAAGTAGGTGTTTAAAGGCTATAGGTATATAAGAAAAAAAAAAAAACACGGGAGGTGATGTTAAATCAGTAAAATCGAATATCAATTGAAGAAAGTAATATAAACATGAATAAAAAATCAAACATTTCGTTAAATTTTGACTGAATTATATGTAATTTCTTAATATTCAATAACCTGGTGATGTTTCAAGGACAAGCTGTCATCTCATACTTTGACAATATGTACTTTGTTTTCAACATTTCGTAGGTATTGGTTGCTGAAATTTGACGAACTGTTACCCTATAGGTGGAGAATAACGGACTGTTAATTTGACATCCTTGGTGAAATCCACCTTGAATCAAATTTCACATTGTAAGCAATACATTGTTTTAGCTGGTAGATGAACACGAAGAACTGGTCCACCAAGACGTACCACAGAGCATCAAGTTGAAGAAATTATTTTTTCTGGGTGTAACACTGAGTATATTAGAAAGTTAGTAAGTTTGGGGATTTCAAATAAAAAGATACTTACCATTTGGAAAGTGGTCAAGTATTTCTTCCACCAGATGTACTTTTGGTATTTTGGTCCCATAGCCGCGATCATGTAGTAGAAGTACATCACAATATGTACAAAAGTGTTGAGCAAGGCGAAAAATGTGCTGTGACCACCTGAAAAAACATATCGATTAACATGAGACAAAAAGTATCGAAATAAGACAGCTCAGTGGCATCTACTCGTATTACCAGAATCGAATATACTAGTTCGCATTGTCAGTTGGGTCACCACTGTGGCCGCTAGATGCCAGCGATTCTGGCAGTACTGCAAAATGATGCTTAATCTAGTGCTATTCAGAATAACGAATAAATTTTTAACATTATTTTTATTTCATTCACAGGAGGTGTTCAAATAGGTTGCTATTATTTTCTAAACAGAAATATATAACTTAACAGAACAGGTACCTGGAGCAAATTTCATGCCCATCCAAACGGAGAAAGGCATGCATCCGTGATGGATGACGTGAAGAGTTGACACGTGGCTGTTTTTCTTCCGCAAAATGAAAAACAGGGTGTCGAAGAACTCCGTGAATTTCGAGAAGTAGTACCACCAACACGTCCTAGCCATCTAAAAAATAAAAAAAAAATGATATAGACTTTGGTTATCCATAGAGGAAAATTTGACGGGAATTTTGAGGCGCATCCTTTTCAGTAAATACCAACAAATTGTTTATTTTTTCCAAATCTCATTTTATGAATGTCAAAATAAACTGCGCACTAACGTTGCGACTATTTTTTCCTTTGCAAGATGACTAGATTTTTCTTTCGTACTTCATGCTAAGATCAATTCTATGTTAGATGAACTGTGAAAAAAATTTGTTATTTAATTCTTATTTTCATATTCAAATAAAAAAATCATTTATTACCACCACATTTAGAACACAAAATCAAAGTCATTGTTATATCTATGAATCTAGAGGAAGTATAGATTTCCATCTGCAAAATTGTTATAGTAGCATAAATAATAATTATATATCTGTATTTGAACAGGAAGAATTTGAATCAACATTTGAAAAGATATCAGTAAAAGATATTTAAATAAGTCATCAATATCATGTCTAACTGTTATTAGGAGTTTTTAAACAAAACACAATAAATTACTATCTATGTACTCATATGACATCACTTCAATCAGAATTATAGTACATTACATAACTAGGTTGAAAGGTGAACTAGTATTGGTCGAAACATTTTTTAAATGATATTCTTTATCTAATTTTAAAACGAAAAGTTCATATAAACATAGGTCCAAAAATGCTTAATTTTTAGAATACCCTTTTTTAAAAAATCGGCATCCCTAAATATCTTGATAAACTTTCAGTCGATTTTGTTCAAATTTAGCAGTGGTATTAAAACCAGTTAGGGGCTAAATTAGCCCCAATTAGATTGAAATTATCAGGTCCAGTGGCGTCACGGAAAACATCCTAACCAATAACTTTGACAAAAATTTGTGCGTCACTGACTGACTTATTTAAATTGTCTACTGTTTCGAATCAAGCAGCTAAAATACAACTTTTTGCCAAATTAGCCCCTTGTTGCCCTTGATACTACTGCTAATTTTGAACAAAATCGACTGAAAGTTTATCAATTTTAAAAAAAAAAGTTTGACACCCTGTATCTTAAAAATGAAGCATTCCTATGTTTATATAAACTTTTCATTTTGAAATTACTCAAAAAATCACCCCCTGAGGCTTGGCCACGTACTTAAATAACACCCTGTATATTGATAGTAAACTAAAGTTTGAGGATCACTATGAATAGATCATTTCAAAAATTGTCAAAAAAACAAATTACTCTTTTAGGGATTCTCATAGTCTTAGTACATATTCGATTGTGATAATTCTAAGAGGCGGAAGTTTTGTTTTTCTGAATATGTGTATATTATGTAATTGTCGTTAGTGTTGACAGTGTTGCCGAACGTCCAGAAAATTCTCAGATGCCGAGATGAACATGGGGCAATCTGATATGTAATATATTTTGAAATACCTCGATCAAAAGTAGGAAAATATGAATAATTCCATTAATCTGGTGAATGTTGAAACTAGGTTTTGTAACGGATAACGTAACTCACAGATATGCAACTTTGCCCAATTCCCGATTACGCATCTGATACTGTTTCCGATCTTGACATTATAAACGATGTAATATATTTTCTTTGAAATGCTTGCAACACTTGTTTTACATTTCCAAATGAATCCTTCAGTTCGACTGTATCATATACGAATAACATCGTATTTTACGAATGAAAGAACAGCAAGTAGATCGGAATAGTAGCAAGGAAATGTTACTATAATCTGTTCAACTCTTTCTTAATAAGCCACAACGCCCGAGAGGATAATTATCTAATCAATTAAATAATGAATAATGATTAATTCTCTTCGTTTTGCAACGAGCGTGTCCTTAAACGCTTTCTAAAAATACGAGGAATTCGAATAATTCCAAGGAATATTGCCTGCTGGAAATAAGTTCTGCTACCTTTGAAAATGTTTACAGTTCCATCTTAAAATACAGACTGAACTGCCACCGGAAATATTCATGAGGCAAAACAAACAAATTATCTTTCATCATAGAGAGTCGATAGTTAAAAACATCTTTGAAGAAAAATTCTTAAGGGGTGGAAAACCATCAAATCCTTATGGCATCTGCAGGAAAGTTGTTATGCTATTTCTAACTGAAGTTGGTGATTATAAACCCTAATAAATAAATAGCGTTTATTGCCCAACAATTAAGGCAACCATTTACAGGGCAATCCTAAGATAAATCAAAATAACAAGAACAGAAAACATCTAAAGAAAAAACAAACAAGATTAAGAAGCAAAAAAAAACATATTTCACTCAGGTGAGTAACATATCATAAATTATCCAAGATGTTCAAACTGTCAGCATGTATATCACAATAATTTGATATTGGATTGAAAGTTTCACACATCACATGTATGGGGATAGAACTGCGGAGTAAATTCTATGATGCAATATTATCTCCAGCAATTTGGAGAAATTCGACAATATTGCCACCGCTCTATAGTTTTTAATATCAGTATAATCCCCTGATTTGAAAATAGGTGTCGCTCTAGAAAGTTTCCACATATCAGGGAATGTGGGTGAGTCCGCACAAAAAACATTTTTTTTTTGTAATTTATGCAGCGTTTAAATGCCGAAAAGGGTAAAATAAAATTTTAATAACATTTGCGATTTATTAAATTTTCTATCTCTCTACAACGTATTTCGACTACGCCCAAAACATACCTAAAACCCTAAAAACGTAGTTTGCAATTTGTCACCTATTGGCGCGTGAAGCAAAAATTGTAATATGTTTTTAATCAATTAATTATTTATTATTTTGTGTAAATATTCCAGACTATATTTTCCGATAAAAAAACTCAATTGTTTGATTAGATACTATTTTCTAAATGGCGTAAAGTCGTTGACATTTCAACTTACCCTCAAAGCCATAGGATCATTCGAATAATCCACTGGTTGACACCGAAAACTGTAGCTCCCCCACCACCCACTCATCAAGTACTGAAACAATAAAAATCTGATTAGCAAAAAAATACTTATAGGGTATTCTAATCTCATTTACACCCCGTAAAAACAAATATCAGCATGCGACGTTCAAATTAGCGATCTCCTATCGGCCAGCGGGTCATGAATGCCTAAGCAGGTACCGACAAGCTATAGAACTCTTCAAGCGGTGATACAGTGCTTCATATTTGTTTTGACGGCGAGTTCATGAAGTGTATTTATATAATCAACGAGTAAAAGCCTTGCTACAAATACAAAGCAGTCTCGATTTGAAGAATTACAGTGTAATGTTTTTAACACTTCGCTTAAGCTTATTAACAGACGTTCAAAATAATTCTAAAGTAATATATATATATATATATATATATATACAGGGTGACTTCGAAGTTGAGTCATTTATTTTAACAGTGAGTAGATCTGATCAAAAGAAATGTTTTTTTCCTTTACCATTTTTCTGGTAAAATTAAAGTAACAAAGTTATAGCCCTTTGGAAGTTTGAGTACCGCCCTGTCTCAATAATAATATTATGTGCTCGTGTTTGGCAACAACGGATATAATCCGCCTTATCGGTTCATCGCATCGGAAACAAAAAAGCGAAAGAATTTGGAACGATGTTTTTACAATTATTTTATTCAGTTGTATACAGTCAGTGTCAGTCGGTAACGCGTGAGTGAACAGTGGTGTCTGTTGCGTGGCTCAAACGAAATAAAAAATGGCACATGTTTATGCGGATCGGTTTCCCAATCGAGTGCAACCAACCCCTCGTGCCTTTGTTAATGTAGTACAACGGGCTCGTGAATCAGGTGACTTAAGACCTCACAGGGGACGGCATGCCGGTGCTCCAAGACCTCACGATCAAATACAGGTCCGCACTGAAATACTTGTCGGGAGGATACTTTATAAAACAAGGTAATTTTTTTTCTTTAATTTTTTTTTATTTTTTCACACATATTTTGGTTTATCTTCCTTCTACAATCATTATCTGAAAATTAATGACTCAACTTCAAAGTCACCCTGTATATATAACAAAAAATAGGAAAATAATGGGCAAAATCCGCAAAAAGGGAAAGTGGATTTGAGCAGAAAGTAGGATAGGTAACCCGAGCAATACATATCTCTGCTTGTTGGCTTCATCAGGCTCGAAATGAATGCGCATACGCAACCACAACCACATCCCTTTTTGCGGATTTTGCCCATTATTTTCCTATTTTTTGTTATAGACCTTTCTCCGCATGGTCATTTTCTCTTATATGTATAGCTTAGTGAACTCTTTTGACGAGCTTTCGACAAACCATGTTGTCATCGTCAGGGGTTGAAACACAATTATGGAAATAGCAACCAATTTAGAACAGATTTAAATTTCCAAATTACTTACTCGTCGTTTTGCAGCTAAATGGTGTTCAAAACGAAAGCGTGGATGAGAACACTTGTTAGAATTTTAAAACACCATTTGCTGCAACCTCACTGACGTGTAAGTAATCTGAAAATTTAAATCTGTTCTACATTGGTTACTATTTTCATAATTGTGTTTTAGCTCCTGAAGATGACAACATAGTTTGTCGAAAGCTCGAGATTACCGTCAAAAGAGAGAAGCTTAAGTTTTGCCAATTCCCAATAAACAATTTAGTTTTATTTTTTGCCCAAATGGTCGTTGGCAATGACTACTACTCGCGTCTGTATATATATCCTTTAATTTCTTTGGGTAGAAGGCAAATTATTGCAAAAGTACACTCTTATAACTTAAACTCTCAAGCTTTCGAAGATCTATGTCTTCATCGTCTGGAGCTGGAAACAATTATTGACAGTAGCAACAAATAACAATTAAGAGAAAAATAGTTACTTACTAAGTCGGCGAGATTGTTGCTGAAATTATTTTTAAACAGTGAAGGGAACACATCTTCGACGAATAATCCCTTCACTGTTGTTTAAAAACAATTTCAGCAACAATCTCGCCGACTTAATAAGTAACTATTTTTCTCCTAATTGTTATTTGTTGCTATGGTCAATAATTCTTTCCAGCTCCAGACGATGAAGACATAGGTCATCGAAAGCTTGAGAGTTTAAGTTATAAGAGTGTACTTTTGCACTACTTTGCCTTCTACCCAAAGAAATTGGAGGATATTTTCTCCTAACAGTTAAGGCAATTAACTATGAATACTATATATATATATATTTATATATATATAAACAGAATATGATATATATATATATATATATTCTAACGTAAGAAGACAAGTTATGGGTTCATTCAAATCGTCATTTGTTTGACGAAAAGGGGAAAAGAAAGTATCAGTATGTCGCGTCCTCCTATCGTTCACATTAAGTGAAATTTTTTCCAACAGTTGATGACAATAAATGTGACCATTGATAATTTTGCGCAAGAAAAGTAAATCAAACTCGTACCTGCGTCGTTCACGGGAAGTCATATTTATGTATTATACTCCTCCCCAATGAAACCCATCTTATACAGGGTGTCCCAGAAGTCGACGTCAAGCCGAAACCGGGTGATAGGCAAAGTCGTAACAGCTATCAGAAAAATATTTAAAAAAAATGTATGTATGTGTTTTGAAAATTATAGGTCTGAAAAAAATATAGAAATTTCACACCCTACGGCAGTCTGTCAACTCCTGTTACTACAAATATTAACTTTTTTTGGATTTTATTTTTACAATGTAATGATAAATAATACATCTTCAAACTGGTGTCTCAACCTTCTGCCAACTTTTCTCGTTCAGGAAAAATTGCCACTTATTTCCCAACCAAGTATTCCAAAGTAAAAGTTTGCTCAACTTTAACTGGCTGTACTGGAAAAAAATGTACTACGAGAGTTTGGCAAGTAACCTTAAAAGTTGGCGCATTTAATAAGGATTCCAAAATGGTATAACACTTAGAAGATTACTCGTTAACTTATGTACAATTTTTATTTGAAGAAAAACTGATGAAAATTTTTCAAAATTTCCTAATTAAACAGCGATTATGAAAACGCACAAGGACCCTTAAGGATAACTGTTTGCACAACAGTGGGCATCAACATGCTGCTGATGATGATTTACCTTTACAGCAAATGCTCAAACTGTTTTCCTTCAGCCGCAATACACGCTCGTCATCTTCTTAAAAAGATCGGGTTATTAAACGATCGAATCCACGGTTATTAACAAACTCAGCTGCTTCCAATAGTCTTTGCCGTAGCTCAGCTACATTTTGAATCGGCTTGAAATACACTTTTTCTTTTACAGTTCCCCAGTAAAAAAAATCTAACGGATTCAAATCTGGTGACCGGGCTGGCCACGGTATTGTACCAGACCGCCCTATCCATCTGCCTGTAAAGTTTTGGTCGAGATACTCTCTCACTGAGAGTGCATAGTGCGCTGGGCAGCCATCATGCTGAAACCACATGTCCCTGTAAATACTCAGTGGCACGTCCTCCAATAAATTTTCTAAATGACTTTGCAAAAAACCTAAATAAACCTCAGTAGTCCAAGTCTCTGGGAACTCAAACGGACCGATTATTTTACCATTTAAAAATCCTGTCCAATGGTTTATCTTGAAGCGATATTGAGATTTATCTTCTCTCATCAAATGTGGGTTTGCTACGTGCCACTCGTGTAAGTTATGCAGGTTCATGTACCCATCTTTCTTAAATGTGGTCTCATCTGACCATAAAATTTTTTCAAAGAACCGTGGATCTTCCCTGTGTCTTTCTAACATTGTGCGACAAAAAGCAACTCGGGGCTCATAATCCCGGGGCAGAAGAGCTTGAACACGCTATACGTGGTATGGCTGGAGCACGTTTTTTTGCAAGATTCTATGGGCTGTACTTTTGGGCACACCTGTTTTTAGTTCTATTGCACGCACTGAAGTACTCGGGTCTTCTTCGACAGCTCCAAGCACCACGTCTTCGTAAGGAAGGAAAGATCTTCCCTCACCGTGTGATTGGTTTGGTAGTTGGCCCTCTGAGAAGCGGTGCACATTTGTGAACACTCGATGATCTGGATGACGAGCTGCATTCGGGTACCTCTCACAGTAAAGTCGCGCTGCAGCACTAGCGTTGCATCTGCATTCCCCATAAATGAGGTGCATGTTAGCATATTCTTGTACGGTGTACACGGACATAGCGGCACTGCACAATCACACTATCAAAGATAGTCTAAGGAAAGCAAATGTTGTTTTGAAGAGCAATTAAACAGTCCAAATCCAAATCACAAGCGATCTACAGTCCAGTTCACGAATCCAAAATTAGTAACAGTACGAAATCAACAAGCACGAACATGTAAAGATGCGCAGTAAACGAAGGAGTACTGATCGGTATCAAAGTGTGTGTGATGTGCTTCATCCATACCACATACAGCGTGTTCAACCTCCTGCCCCGGGATTATGAGCCCCGAGTTGCTTTTTGTCGCACAAGGAAAGATCCACAGTTCTTTGAACAAATTGTATGGTCGGATGAGACCACATTTAAGAAAGATGGGTACATGAACGTGCATAACTTAGACGAGTGGCACGTAGCAAACCCACATTTGATGAGAGAAGATAAATCTCAATATCGCTTCAAGATAAACCATTGGACAGGAATTTTAAATGGTAAAATAATCGGTGCGTTTGAGTTCCCAGAGACTTTGACTGCTGAAGTTTATTTGGATTTTTTGAAAAATCATGTACAAAATTTATTGGTGGACGTGCCACTGAGTATTTACAGGGACATGTGGTTTCAGCATGATGGCTGCCCAGCACACTATGCACTCTCAGTGAGAGAGTATCTCGATCAAAACTTTCCAGGCAGATGGATAGGGCGGTCTGGTACAATACCGTGGCCAGCTCGATCACCTGATTTGAATCCTTTAGATTTTTTTACTGGGGAACTGTAAAAGAAAAAGTGTATTTCAAGCCGATTCAAAATGTAGCTGAGCTACGGCAAAGACTATTGGAAGCAGCTGAGTTTGTTAACAATCGTGGATTCGCTCGTTTAGTAACCCGATCTTTTTTAAGAAGATGTCGAGCGTGTATTGCGGCTGAAGGAAAACAGTTTGAGCATTTGCTGTAAAGGTAAATCATCATCAGCAGCATTTTGACGCCCACTGTTGTGCAAACAGTTATCCTTAAGGGTCCTTGTGCGTTTTCATAATCGCTGTTTAATTAGGAAATTTTGAAAAATTTGTATCAGTTTTTCTTCAAATAAAAATTGTGCATAAGTTAACGAGTAATCTTCTAAGTGTTATACCATTTTGGAATCCTTATTAAATGCGCCAATTTTTAAGGTTACTTGCCAAACTCTCGTAGTACATTTTTTCCAGTACAGCCAGTTAAAGTTGAGCAAAGTTTTACTTTGGAATACTTGGTTGGGAAATAAGTGGCAATTTTTCCTGAAGGAGAAAAGTTGGCAGTAAGGTTGAGACACCAGTTTGAAGATGCATTATTCATCATTACATTGTAAAAATAAAATCCAAAAAAAGTTAATATTTGTAGTAACAGGAGTTGACAGACTGCCGTAGGGTGTGAAATTTCTATATTTTTTTCAAAGACCTATAATTTTCAAAACACATACATAACATTTTTTTAAATATTTTTTCTGTTATAACTTTGCCTATCACCCGGTTTCGGCTTGACGTCGACTTCTGGGACACCCTGTATACTCGTATATATCCATAGATTCACAAAAACTTTTGCTGCACACGCTCTAATTGGTCGATTCGTAGTTATAACGAGATGAAGCAACAATACTCAAGTAGCTAACGGACCAAAGAACAATACAAAATTTAAAAAAATAGCAATGCCGTTTTATAAAATCTAACAACTTATATACACATTGACTGGATAATTTAGAGTCAATAATAACTCACAAGTTCTTGATCTGGCATGTACTTTGTAAATATTTACCGCTGATGCTATAAAAATAAGTAATAGGAGAACGAGACCAACTAAATGTAATTCTGAAAGATTTCGCTTCATTTGAAAGAAAAACATTCGCTCCACGCCAATGAAAAATATGGTCCAAGTCTGTTCGCAGCAATTCGGCATCATGTTTGTTCCCAATAGCTCTAACATCATCCGCAAATAAAATAATTGCAGTGCGTAGAGAACTTACAAGATCATTAATACATATATTAAATAACAACGGACCAAAGTGTGAGCCTTGCGGGACTCCGGAATTCACACGAGCTTAGCGTGATGTACACCGACCATATTTTACAATCTGAGATCTATCAGATAAAAAAGGTTCAAGGTTTGAATAGACTATAGATGAATTCATGAGATCGACGCTTACGATTTTTCATCTAAGGATACTTACTTCATAAAATATCCATGCGCTAAATATACATTGTATTAAATTGTAAACTATCAGCACGTTCCGCAGGTTGAACGGTTTTCTGTTCTCCATTAGTCTGGGCCCGATAACTCTGGAGAAATAAGCGTAGAAGATGCATATGGCTAGAGTGGGGAAGGGACTCGACATCATCGTCCAATTGTTCACCCTTGGATCTGAAACAAAACAAAACATTGTAATACGTAGATCAATCAGTCATTTATTGAAAAGGTTAAAACATTTTTTCCAAAACTAATCCGAAATAGTTATTTACCTAACATGTGCGAAAAATAATAAATCCAGAATTTTAAGTACCGTACTATTTTTTATTAGAAACTTAAGGCCTGCTCTGACGCAGTGAGTTTCAAGCCAGTCAAAGCTGACACTCAAGTTCTCAGTATTTTTGAATGAAATTTATACAGTATGTTCAGAAGACCACATTGCCCAGGGTGCTATCGGAGCACTTTTTGAAATTATGTAAGATTTATGGTGGGTTAAAATCCTTACTTTTTTGTTGAACTTTCAAAAGAGCCTAGCCGAAAAAATGAAAAAGTGGCTCGATAGCATCCTGTAGGGTTTTGTTTTCAGCGCACTGTAAAAATTTCATTCGAAAATATTAAAAAATGAAGCGTGGATTTTTCACGAATTTTTTCTGCTGTGTCGTGCTGCCAGGCCAAGCGACGCGGCGGTATGTACGGACTAAGAAAGGACTATTTCATATAATATAGTGTATATAAGTCATTCTGTGTTAATAATAACAATTAACGTCTTTTATTTGTAATATTCTTACAGGAGGCGAGATTTAGATAATATATCTATTCTACCATCTAACCCCCTTAACAATACGAGATGTAAAAAAAAACAGAATTTGTTGAAAATTAATACCTGTATACAATAACAGAATAAAGTATAATCTAAGTAAAGGCATAAGGAAAGTATGAGAACACATGGATTACAACGGATTTCGCTGCTCATCAAGTAGAACTTCTTTCACTTTCTTGAATTTGGGTATTGCATTGGTTTCTTTTAAACTGCGGTGTAAAGAATTATATGATTTGATCGCATTGTAAATATATGTATTCTGAAATAGAGATGGTGGAATTGAAAAAGTCTCTCTATATCTAATATTAATACCATGCATATTCCCTCTACGTATGAATTTGTTTACTAAATACGACGACGTTTTTGAATAAAGAACCTTATGACTCAGATTTAGGAGCTGGTACTTATACATTTTATCCATTTTACATCCATTTGAGTTCATTAACGGCATTCGATATATGATCATACTTTCTGAGTCCATTTACAAGCCTGCAACATGTAGTCATAATACTTCGAATACGATTTCTTGTTATAATATCTAAATAGGGATAGTAAACCACTAAGCAATACGATATCTTTGAAAACAAGAAAGATTCACACAATTGCTTTCTCGCAGATTTATGTAATATAGCCTTATTTGCAAATAAAACTCTGAGAATAGCGTAGCACTGAGAAATTAGATAGTTTACGTGTACAACAAATTTTAAGTCATCATCCATGATAATACCTAGGTTCTTAGAATGATCCACAGGAACTGATTTATTACCTTTTAAATGTATGTCTATGTCCTTTTTTAAAGTATTCTTTTTTGTTCTATTTGCGTATACCAAAATATTTGTCTTCAAAGGGTTCAAATGAAGATTACGACTACTACTGAACTTTTCAATTTGGGCAAGATCTTGATTAATTTTATTATTTGCTGTTTCCAAGTCATCACTTCTGTTTCTAAATCTGAGATACATAATGAAAATAATAGGGGTCCTAAGACCGATCCCTGTGGTACACCAGAGCAATTTTTTGTTCGATAGAGTACTGTTGATTTAGACGAACTTTGTGATACCGATTTTCAAGGTGTGTTTGAATAAACGAAAGAGGTTTTTCAGAAAATCCATAATAACTGCATTTAGACACGAGAAGTTAGTGATTAATGGTGTCAAATGCTTTATTAAATATACTAAGTGACATATAAATCCGAACACCCAGTTTAAATGGTTTTACGTAGTCGTGCCATAAGTTCTGTCCCATGATAATCTCATGATAAAAATGAAACAAGATAAGATATATTTATATGAAAGATATTATTTATTCGACAACATTTTTAGAATTCATAATCAAACAGTTTTATTCAAAATGTCCCCCCTTGGCCTTCACACACTGCTTCAATCTCGCGGGCCACTCATCTATCACTGCACGCACAGCTTCCAAAGGAATAGCTGCCGCTGATCGGATCAAATCCGCTTTCAGGGACTCGATATTACGGTGGGCTTTGGAGCAGGCCAACTGCTCTAGCAGGTCCCACAACTTGTAGTCTAAAGGATTGAGGTCCGGACTCCCTGAGGGCCAATCTTCCGCAGCAATGAACTCTGGCACATTGCTTTCCAGCCAGCGCTGCGTACTCTTAGCCTTGTGAGCGGGGGCGGAATCCTGCTGGTAGACCCAGTGTTGGTTGGCAAACAATGTACCACTTAAAGGCTTGACGATAGGATCCAGTATGTCGCTCTGATAGTTTGCCGCTTTTGTTTTCACGACCTGTTTACAGAAATGGAGCTGAGTGACCCCTTCGTAGGACACCCCCCACCAAACCATGACTGACGCAGGGTGGTGGCCTCTCTCAACTCTCGGAATGATCTCCGAAGCTTCCTGTGAACTCCTTGCATACACTTTGTCATTTTGTCGGTTGAATTTTTCTTCTATGGTGAAGATTTTCTCATCCGTGAACAAAATCTTTCGGAATCCCCCAGCTGCGTACCTCTCCAAGAGCTTCTTGGATCTTGTCGCCCTGATGTGTCGCAAGGTGGCCGTAAGTCGCTGGCCCGTACGTCTCCGGTAAGCCCCTAGCCCTAGGTCTTGTTTAATGATGCGCGACATCGTCCGGACAGGAATCTTCATTTCCCTGGATAGGATCTTCTGCTTCCGGAGTGGATTCCTTTGAATCCTGGCTTTTACGGCTTTGATGGCTGCTGGAGTCCTTACTTGACGAGGTCTTCCGCTTCTTGGCCTGTCATCAACAGAGGACGTCTCATTGTACCGCTGAATGGTCCTAGACACAAATTTACGCGATATTTGAAGGCCGCGTAAGAGTTCAAAAATCTGACTAGCACTGTGATTACACTTATGTAAAGCTATCCCTGCAATACGGTTCTCTGCCTTGCCCCACTCCATCGTTATGCTTCGAGAGATCAATACAAACTGAGGTATATGTAATTACCCGAAAAGCGCTTAATCAACTGACACCACAATGTAAACAATCGGACAAGTATTAACAGGTCTACACTTGTTTGAAAACGAGGGACAGAACTTATGGCATGACTACGTATTTTAATAAAAGTTGGTGAATGTATTTATCTTACTGTAAATAACAAGTGAAAAAATGTTCAGTCTTATCAGTTGGACATTCCGGTTTTTATACTGCTTTTTTTTAATTCATTAACGCTCTAAAAATGAATATTTCAGCCGCAGTAAAGAATCAACGTCGGCGGATTTTGGTTCTTGACATCCTTTACGATCGGTTACGATGCCTAGAGTACGGAGACCTGTACGATTTCGTCAACTTAGTGAGTTTGATAGGGGCCGTATAGTGGGACACTGTGGTTAGGTGTTGTCAGGCATGGCTTCGAGAAGGCCGTACGCAAAGAGCAAGGGGCACTGGACGCCGCCGTAGAACAACAGACCGTGAAGATCGCCGCCTAAGATTATTGGCCTTAAGGGACCGTTTCTCCACTACCAGGTCCATTGCAAATGAATGGTTTGCAGAACACGGAAGACCTATTGGCATGCGAAGTGTTTACCGACGAATGAGAAGTTTTGGCTTGTTTTCATACCGGCCACACTGGGTCCTCCCTTTAACTCGAGAACACCGACGTAATCGCCTTGAGTGGTGCAGACAACGGTCACTCTGGGATCAGAAATGGAACAGTATTGTCTTTAGTGACGAGTCTCGATTTTGTTTAGGCATGCACGATGGTCGTGCCAGGGTTAGAAGGCGACGTGGTGAAAGGAGGAATCCACAGGTTTTTGTTGAAAGACATGTTCATCACACTGTTGGAGTTATGGTTTGAGGTGCCATAGCTTATGGTTCCAGGTCACCTTTAATCTTCATCAGAGGTAACATGAACGCGCAGCGTTATATCCACGAAGTTCTAGAACCCCATCTTTTACCCTGGCAGATCCAACTTTCCAACAAGATAATGCCCGACCACATGTTGCAAGAGTCACAATAGACTTCTTTCAACATAATGATGTCACATTGTTACCATGACCACCAAGATCTCCCGACTTATCCACAATTGAGCACGAGTGGGATATGATGGGTAGGAGAATGCTCAATTTGCAACGTCCTTCTCAGACTCTAGAAGCACTTCGAGAGGAGTTGGTGGTTGCCTGGAATGACATACCACAGGAGGACATTGACCACCTGATCAGAAGCATGCCTAGGCGCGTTGGAGAATGCGTAGCACATCAGGGTACATCCACACATTATTAAAGGTCAAAGGGCTTTAAAGCAGTGCAATCATTTTAAAATTTTTATAATTTACTTATTATGCTTCATTAAGTACTTATACAAAATTTTATTAAAATAAAACCATTTAAACTGGGTGTTCGGATTTATATGTCACTTAGTATACAAGAAGTATAAGAGCTGCTGCTTTTTGGTTATCAAGTGCCATTGTTATTTTGTCTGTTAAATAATCGCGATGTAACTTCTGAACTTATGCCCCGGTTGTTCATCTAATCTATCTATCTATCTCCTGAAATTTAGGCAGATTCGGAAAATTCAAAATTTTTACTCCTCCATCTTAAGGCCGTTTTACTTCGCAAGCCAGTGGCGCGAAATATTTCAAAAATGAGATGTTTTTTAGGTTTTACTATACAGGGTGGCGCATCGAAAACGAAACACACGCATTTACTGGCAGCTCAGTTTGTTTTTTGGAAAAACGCTCAGAGCCGTCGATTTTTTTTTCGAGGGAGACACAATTTTGGCAAAAAATCACGTTAACACGTACAGCCCCCTGGGCGGGGGTGACACCAACCCTAAAATCTTAAATGGAAAGGGGGGTCGAGTGATACCTTATTTTAAAGGTCTTTCAATTCCCTTCATATTGATGTAAAATACATGAGCTTCAGTTCAGTAGTTT